ATTCGACGGGCTCGCGTACCGGGCAGGTCAAGAACAAGGAGTCGTACAACTCCCTGGTCAAGAACCACCTTTCCGCTTCCGTGGGACGCCACCACCCCATGATCAGGCGTCAGATGCGGCTCCTAAATGGTGGGGGAGGATAGATCAGATCCACCAACCATAGGCCAAAGGCCTAAATCCCGTTTACCACATCTATGTTTTACTCATGCCAGGACGCGAGTTCCCAATCCTTCCGCTTCCAAGCAGGACTTGAACCTGGTACCTCTCGTTTCTCAATCATGGTCTTAGACAAACCCACTGTGCCTGCCTGCTATGCATATGAGTGATTGACTGATTGACATGACTGTACATGTCCTTGTACATGGTGCAAGGCACATACCGGTATATGGTACTCATGTAGTAATACCAGTGCTGTCTTGGATGAGGGCGGGGGGGGGCACTCTGACACGAGGTGTAAGCTTCAATGTCTGCAGAGTGCAGATAGTACGGTTTCCGAACGTTGGCTGATTACGGCACTTGTTTGATTGCCTATTAGTGGTGCATCACAGCTCTTACAATCTTTTCACTGCGGTGGAGTGTTGGCCTAGAACTTACACACATTTCATAAGAATGTCTTGCCTTCTATTGGAGCGCAGTGTTCTGGATGTGCTTTTATGTCACGCTTTGTATGTGCTGTGACCCACAGTTAATTGGGAACACGTAGCCTGGCACGAGGGAAACATGGATGCAGTGAATGGGATTCTCGGTCTTTGACCACTTTGCTGGTGGGCTGATCCACTCACCTCCCATCGCCTTAGGACCGTTACAGATACATCTGTGCCTTAGATCTTTGCGGGGTGGTGGCGTTCCTACGGATGCTGAAAACTCAGCCTAACTTAGTCTGAAGCGAACCTTGACAATTTGTTTCTTTTGTGTACCGTATGTCGAAGAAATTGTCTTTTAAGCTTTCATAATGGTCATAGACTGATGGTGTGGGGGGGGGGGGGGGGCGTGCTTCTTATTGCGTGTGTGGTAAGTCCACTGAAGTGATGTCATAATGTGCTGTGTGTGTCCGTGCATGTGTGTGTGCATGTGCACATGTGTGTGCATGTGTGTGTATGTGTCCGTGCTCGTGTTTCCGGCCATGTACAGGCTTGTTACCAGGTTCCAATCTCAGCAGGTATGTTCTCGCTCGGCCTGCTAGACTACCGGGCAGAGTACTGTTCATTTCCGAAAGCTCGGGATCACTCAAACACCAGGAAAACTGAAATAATGATCCAGATGGTGTCCTTCGTGCCACTGGGACCGGGGATTAGTCCAGTTTGTCGGACGGACACGGGATGTATGCATGGCTGCATGGGTGGGCTCTGAGATCTGTGTACGCGTAGTTTTAAGATCTTGGCAACCTTTGTTCCCATGCTGTCCAAAACTTGTGTGTTTAAAGTCGCACTAGCCAGATGACCTTGTTGCATGTACTGGAAGCCAGGCATGCTGTGACTCCTGCTTTTTAACTTGCGTTCGAGGCAACGTTTGTGAAAACCTGCGGCCGTGGCCACCAGGCAGAGGATGGTGTCCAGAACATTGCTAGCACACTGCCTTGCGCAGTTGGGTGTTCCAGTACAGATGACTGTTGTGTTCTCTCTCATTGCCTGCTCGTTTTGTGCTCCTCGTGCGTCTAGTCTTCTGTCTGCATCGAAACTGTACATTGGCATGGGATTTCCGTACGAAGGGCCTGGTCCTGTTGAGGCGCTGGCATCGGGCTGCTCTGTCCTTCTTGGACTGTTTAAACCACCTAAGCATAGCGGAAACACACCATTCCTTTCCGGCAAGCCCACTCGGAGAGCTCTGCACAGCCAGCATCCGTACCTCACCGACTTCATTGGAGAGCCGCAGGTGAGTTCGTGTTCTTATCTCTACGCGGTCTTTCGTCTGCGTGCTGATCACCTGCGCAGAGTGGCATGGCTGACCACACTGCATATTACATTCCGGATTGTACTTTTCAGGAACGGCGACATCCTGATGTTGTCCGCTCTTCTTTTGGTGGTGGGTCTTCTGAATATTTGTTGTGTGTGTGTGTGTGTGTGTGTGTGTGTGTGTGTGTGTGTGTGTGTGTGTATATATGTGTGTGTGTGTGTGATGGGTGTGTGTGTGTGATGGGTGTGTGTGTGTTAACAGGTTTACACGGTTGACCTTAAAAACACCAAGGACATAGAGTCAGTCATGGAGAAAATACTGGGTGAGTTAGCTTGTGTGTTGTGTTACTGTAAGAGTTGAATGTCTAATGGGGCACAACGTCTATTGTTTTAACGAGACAGAATCCATCGCTAACTCAAGAAACGTTACACGTAGGTTATTCCTTCTCTCCTCCTAGTAGAGAAATAGAAGACAGGTGTGTGCTGGCAGGGTCGTTAAACTTTGTGCCCTCGAAGTGGGATTTTTTTGCAATCCATTATTTTAACGTTAGACTTGTCACCGTGTGACTTTCGACTCTTACAGCATACATGATGTGTGTTATATGTTACACATCAATTATTTAGGTATGTAAGAAAGTACTAGTATGCTACCAGCATGTATTTGTGTCGTGAAGAGAATTTGTTGGATCTGCTTTGCAATGTTAGACAGCACTGTTAGAGAGATTCTTTGGATAATAGATTGGGTTTTTTTTATAGAGAATGTCGTCAAAGTGATCTTTCATGCTTTGCTGGTGTGCCAGGGTATGCACACAACTCACTATGGTTCGTTTCAGCTAGGGTGCTTCCGCGCGGCAAATCGTTTTGTGGATTTTTACAATTGCTACCACTGAAGTAGCAACTGGTGTCTAGAAAGTACAGGATGATATGAGCCTTGTGAAATTGATCCTCGTCTACACTTACCTACTCATACATACTAAGCCCTACGCCCCCTCCTCTCTGAATCAACTGCTTTGGTTCCTACAGCCAAAAAAGACGAGGAGTTCAAGCCCAGGATCCAGCATGAGTTCACGCCGGAGGGATTCGCGGAGCGTGTCGGGCACTTCATTTACTACCAAGACTTCTGCGCTGATCGAAGCAGCATAGCTTTGGGAAAGAATGGTAAGCCAGTAGTACTGAACAAGGCTATTCTATTCTGTTCTTGCTGTGCATAGCTTTGGGAGAGAGTGGTAAGCCAGTAGTGTTGAACAAGGCTATTCTATTCTGTTCTTGCTGTGCATAGCTTTGGGAAAGAGTGGTAACCCAGTAGTGTTGAGCAAGGCTATTCTATTCTGTTCTTGCTGTGCATAGCTTTGGGAGAGAGTGGTAAGCCAGTAGTGTTGAGCAAGGCTATTCTATTCTGTTCTTGCTGTGCATAGCTTTGGGAAAGAGTGGTAAGCCAGTAGTGTTGAACAAGGCTATTCTATTCTGTTCTTGCTGTGCATAGCTTTGGGAGAGAGTGGTAGGCCATCAGTGTACACAGTAGTAATCACTGCTATTCTTGCTGTTTAAACGCAACACGGAAACTCATGCTGTACAGCGATTCAGGGAGAAACAGAAATACAGTTAGCTTGCTGAAGGTATTTTGTATTCGTAATTGAAAATAAAAAAAACCGGATTTTCGTTTGTACTAAGCTCTGCACGCCGTGTACTGAGCACTGTGACCGGTAGTCAACGTTCTGTGTATTTGTAATTGTAATTGTTCTTGTATTGATGGATTCTCCCCAGGCCCTACCCTCAGGGGAGGGAGGCTCCGTTCATAATGGGCCCTAAATAGTGATTGGTTTCCATGGCTACAGGCTAGTGATCGGTACCTATAAAGTAAGAAAACATCAGGTGTGCAAGAACGGGCTCGGGTGGAGAGCCAAGGATTAAAGGGGAAGTTAAGGGCCTAAAAATCAAAACTTCACCAGTTGTAGTCTTCGGGGTGCTGAGTCGAATGGTCTTGGTCCGAGGAAGCTGAGACGCTCCCTTCCTCCTTTATTCCCAATCGAACTCACGCACTTCCACCGAAACTGGGTGACTGCGCCCTACTACTGTCGTAGACATAGAAACCCAGTCGATTGACCGGGGCCGGCGCCCTCAGCGTGTACAGAACGTTGCATGCATGCAGTCGTTGATCCGGCCGATGCGACCAGCAGCTCGCGTGTACTCGTACTGCTTACCGGCGGCTGCATGGCCAGCGCCCTGGGGCCGCTAGACGTGAGACCGGATTTCCATTTCCACGACAGTAGATGGGAATTTGTATGCAAAATGTCACTAAAAGTGCCATTTCGTTCTTATAAAAGCCCGGATGACCGCGATTGGCCCATATGACCGCGATTGGCCCATATGTTGTAGTCTTTTGGATGCTGAGTCGACTGGTTTTGGTCCGAAAAGGCTGCGATGCAGCGTTCGGCCCTTATTCCTAATCGAATATGGTTGAACAAGCGGTCACGTGCTCCTGCGTACACCAGTCACCTGGTCACCGCGCCAGCAGGCGACAACTTTCACACCAAGGTTCAACTCAAAGGTTCAAAGGTTCAACTCGAGTGACAGAAACTCGCCCAAACACGCTGTAAGTTGTAGCCTGCAGGCACGGTGAACAGGAGGAAATGGTTCCCAATGTTCTGGCCGCATATCAGAATAGGTTGGCTAAGAGTCAAACCATGCACTGCCTAGAACTGAGTAGGCCCTTGTTTGACAACGAACGAAGCTTTCAACAATTGAAGTTACAGCAGCTTGTGGCTTCTACTGAGGAAGAGATTTTCTTTATTAAAATTTTTATGTTTTGCTTCTTCCTGGTTTGGGTGATACGAGCTGTCCATTGATACAATCCCGTTGTTACAAAATTAATGACTTTAAAATTAGTGGTTCAGAACCAGTAGTCATGCATATGCACTGGCTCTGCAGCTCAGCACCACAGTTGCCTTTGCCCTCGGATGTTTCTCCAGCCCTGTCCTGTACTTAAAGAGAGGTGCACATGATTGTAGAGGATGTGTCATTAGTGATGTTTGTTGATCAGCCTGTGAGCAGTATATGACCCTGCCGACAGAGTGCGGAAATAGGTGGCTTGATGATACCTGATTTCCAGCTCAAAATGTTCGAATCATTTTGTAAGTGTTGTGGTTAGAGGGGTTCCTGCCGGCTTGGCACTCATACTAAAAGAAGTACTTTTTTACTCTTTCTCTGATGTTTCTTTTGTTTTGTGCACTGTACAGCGACGTCCAGCCCATTGGTTGACAAGCACACAGCAGGTGAAGCTGTGTCCATGGATATGGCACACACCAAGTGTGTGTGGCTCGAACCCAAAGAGCAGGGCGTGTGGTGGGAAGTGGACCTCGGCTCTATGTCGCCCATTGCCAGCGTCGTCGTTGATTTTGCTGTAAGCGGTTTTTAGATGGCATTGAGCCCACATGTTGCATTTCCACGACTCAAAATTGTTTACCTGAGGTAGTGTGATTGTGCAGATTTGGTTGATTTGTTTCTTTTGTTGATTATAGTGTTACTTGTGTGTGTTAACAGTACTTCCTCCGCTAAGCGAAACTTCGTTGCATTTTTACAGTTCAGTCCAAAGCATTCTATGGCTACCAACACTCTTTGCAAAGTGGAAAACAAAGCAGCATATGAGAGATAGTTATTTACAGATGTCACACAGCTCATTTCAAAGCAGTCCAGCTTCACTCTTCGTCTGAATCTGATGACGACTCACTCCTTGATGACATCGAGTTGGCATCCTCGCTGACTTTCGCCTCCAGCGCTGCCAGCTTTTGCTCCGCAGCCTTTTCAAGTTGCCCAGACACGATTTGATCGTGGAGATCGCCAAGTTCTTCACTCGAACTGTGAGCTTGACAACCTTCACGGTTGCGCTGGTAGTTGCTGTCTCCGCCGCTCACTCTCTCCAGAATGACATGGAAGGAGTCATACAGACACACCCAAACTCTTCTCATTTTGGCAGCGGGGAACTCGTGCCAGCACATTTCCACAGCCTGCAGAAGCTCCTTTCTGGTTTCCTTCGCCATGAGTGCCACATCTGTCTTCAGGCTGTGGAAGAACGCCAAATCGTCGACGTTGAGATCGGGACTTTGCGCCGGCTGAACGACAACCTGAATGTCGAACCCTTTTGCTTTCCCCTGCCCTGCAAACGCACGTGCATTGATTTATTTTGGCTGTGTGCGAATGCACACCATCGTGCTGGTACAGCAGTGGCTGGCCGGCTTCTGGGCACTTTTCGAGCCACGCGGTCTTTCAAACTGTTTCTCATTTTCGCACGTCGGTGTCATGCGCCTGGGGTTGTATTCTGGTGACATCCTGCCAAGAAACGGTTATGCTTTGCCGATTTTTTCAAGGACTCCACGCTTTTCGAAGGTTCGAAAGCCTGTCAGAACAATGGACAGCACCTCGGCTACCCTATGTAGGGGATATATCCCTGACATGTTTGTCTAATGCGGACAGAAAGATCATGACAAGAACACACAAAAAAACGCGACGAAGTTTTGCTTTGCGGAGGAAGTACATGTAATTCAGTTTGGCTTACCTACCACTAGTGGGCGTTCTTTAGAAGTTTGGATGCATGTGTGTGTGTTTTTGTATGCGTGCGCGTGTGTATGTGTGTGTGTTTGTATTTTTAGCCTGACTGGCACGTCTTGATAAAGATGTGGGGAAATAAAATTCCTCCTTTCCGAATTCTCTTACTGGATAACGAGAGGAAGTGAGTAGTAAATATTCAGTTTGCAATCTGGTTTGCTTATCTGTGTTAATGTCAGCATTCTACCTTGCTGTAGATCCCCCAGATAGGCGTTAGCCTTTGGGTAATCCTGAAATAAAGATGATTATATATTATTATATCTACATGTACTGTACTTGCGTAGTTCTTTTTTTAATGGATGATCTACTGGAAAGCCAATATGTATATGTCCTGAAAGAGCCAATATTCCGTGGAGCCTGAATCCGAAAGACTCTGCCCCGCATTATGATTGGATCATTTGTTTTTTAACGAAGGTGGGATTTCTTGCTAACCTATAACGTCCTGTTGAAATGCCTGCCGGGTACACTGCCTCATAGCAGTACAAGGCTTTGGGCACTGTATGGATGATGGCCTGTACCCTGGCGTTGAACTGTTGCTAGCACAGAGCAAAACAGTGCAGTAAAGATCTACACTGATGCAAAAACCTGCGTACACTTTTAAAAAGTGGAATCAGTAGCAAAGTTTTAGTATGCAGAAAGTGCACTTTTGCTGCCAATGAGAAAGATGTCGGACGACTGAAATCATGTACTTCTCACGTGAGCATTTATTTGATTGTGTTTTTTTTAACTTTTCTGCAGGAATGTGGCCAAAGAAGAGTACACACACGATCATATGTAAGACTCTGTGTGTGTGTGTGTGTGTGTGTGTGTGTGTGTGTGTGTGTCCCGGGATGGATACCCTGATGCCGTCAATCCTTTTTCTGCACCTTGTCCTCTTCCACTTACTGAGGTGTGGTGAGCCCATAAGTGGGGTCATTTTCAAGTTCACCCAGAGTTTTTGGGATTTCAGGGGGTGTCGGCCGTTGGGCGTTTCAATAGCCAGTTGAGTCATCTTTCCAAGATTCCCTTTGAGTCTCTCTCCCCACTCCCGGGGAGACCCACGTGACCAGTTGTGGCAATAAGCAACAAGTGTGTGTGTGTGTGTGTGTGTGTGTGTGTGTGTGTGTGTGTGTGTGTGTGTGTGTGTGTGTGTGTGTGTGTGTGTGTGTGTGTGTGTCTTTCGTTCTCCTGGGTGGTTACCAACAGCAAGTGCATGCCGGAGTATGTGGTGTGTGTGTGCGGGGAAAAAAATGAAAAACCAAAAAGTAGGGATTCACTGGCCAGAAAAAGCCACTTCATAGCTGTGTGGTGTAGACCAGGTTGAAAAGAGCCGGTCAATTCTTCAGCCTTGCAAGCTGTTAATGGTGCAATCCCAGCACAAGCTGCTTTGGCTTCTGCTGTAGCATCGCTATCACGGAGGCAATGTGCGTCAAATGGTCAGATGGTGTGTGTGCGTGCGTGCGCGCGCGTGTGTGTGTGTGTGGGGGGGGGGGGGGGTGTGAGTGGATGTGTGCGTGTGTGCATGCGTATGAATAGTGTGAACGCCGAGGTCTAAAGAGGTGGTGAATGGACAGGTGCACTGAGGAGCGCGTGCGAACGCCATCTTCCAACTACTTTCAACTTGTTGGTTATTTTTGTAGTGGACATGAGAGCAGTGCACTCTGGCTTGGGCAACTAAAGTGCTGGCAGCTGAAATCCTAATCCTGTAGCGGTGCGCTCACATCACAAACACCCAGCACGGGATTGTAACGGTGCAGAAATTAACCCTTTCCATGCCGGGGCCCCTTTTCTCCAATCGGCCGGCTGTCCAGAGCACTGACTCTCTTGGTGTAGTTTGCGCGCACAGCTCTGAATGGAAATTATTCTCATTTCCCTCCACCATGATGGATTTTCATCATCCTGGGCTCGTTGGAAAGATCAGGACCAAGCGAATCCATCATGGTAGATCTCAGCAACATAGACACACCAGGGCCACTTCCACCTCCTCTCCGAACTACTCCACCGTGCCTCGGAACGGCACAACAACTTAATCTCACGTTCTTGTTCGGCATCTTGCCCAAATTCAACCGGTTTTCACGATTAGAACTGCGCTGCAAAGCTGAGATCCAAGCGCTTCATTTGATGTCCATCACGCATGCGTCGTGCCAAAGGGAAATCCCCTAGCACGCTCCAAAAAACTGCGTAGTCATGAACAAAAAAATTCGTGTTCGCTCCGGCCCGTGATTTTGGTGTTCATCCTGTCGCCGCTCAGTGATTCTTTATCCCATCGCGACGAACATTATATCCACGGAAAGATGAGCTCAAGACCTTTCCAACGGTGTATTGATTGTCGCGATGCGGTTATGTTTCACAGAGTTACGATAGTTTGTACACTGGTCTGTGCACTGAACAAAAAAATTCCTGTTCGCGCCGGCCCGTGATTTTGGTGTTCATCCTGTCGCCGCTCAGTGATTCTTTATCCCATCGCGACGAACGTTATATCCACGGAAAGATGAGCTCAAGACCTTTCCAACGGTGTATTGATTGTCGCGATGCGGTTATGTTTCACAGAGTTACGATAGTTTGTACACTGGTCTATGCACTGAACAAAAACATTCGTGTTCGCTCCGGCCCGTGATTTTGGTGTTCATCATGTCGCCGCTCAGTGATTCTTTATCCCATCGCGACGAACGTTATATCCACGGAAAGATGAGCTCCAGACCTTTCCAACGGTGTATTGATTGTCGCGATGCGGTTATGTTTCACAGAGTTACGATAGTTTGTACACTGGTCTATGCACTGCAATGTAACGTGCGCACTACGAGGACGAGATATCTCGTCCTTGGCCAATCGCGTGGGGGTCTGTAGGACGAGTTATCTCGTCCTTGGCACTGAAAGGGTTAATAGAGACCGCTAGAGTCGGTGCGGCACTCGAGCACAAAAATCAGCGGTCTGATTTCAGTTGCCAGCGCTGGACATGTACAATCCAACAGCAATGCTAACAATTTTGCAATTCTCTCCTCCAGCATGCGGTTTGAATGGGATGTGGAAAACGGTCCGGTTCGCGCTCGCTACGTCCGAGTGGAGAAGGCCAGCAAAGGTGAGTGTTGTGCTTAAGTTCTGTTTTGTGTCCATGGCAAATAACCACCCATTTCCACTGCTGGCAGCTGATTACGGCACCTCTATTCTCTAATGCTACAAGTATTGTCACTTGGATTTAGCCTTGCGTTATGCTGTCCTGGAGTGTGGTAGCAGTGGCAAACTGGGTGGCCATAGCATATTGTCACGGTCCAACTGATACGTGCACACCGGTGAAAAACCTTGGGTAGTCATGAGATCTACCAGGCACACGTGGCACCTCTGCAAACCGCAGTCGTAAGAAAGGGAACCCCACACGTATGCCATTATTCTGCACTTTTAAAACTCTACTGCTGTACTTAATTTTTTTTGGATAAGCCAGACAGCCATAGCGGGGATGGCTACGATTACGATAAAGAAACAGAGGGTACCAGGTTTGGAAGCGGAAGACTTGTTTCAGCTGTGCTGCGACCCACAGTTAAGGTGGCTCCTACCCCTCGGGTCCAATTTTTTTTGTTTGAAACGTGGCTACAAATGATTGTACTTTGTTCCGTTGGATATCTAGTGTACGGAGACGAATTTTTATCAAGTTCTACCGGCCGGTTTCACTCGGGGGAGGGGCCAAACATAGCGTACTCACAATTGCCAATTTAGGCCAAAAAATACCGGAAAACCAGTTTTTTGGCCGTAGCACTGGTAGTTACCCCCTTTTTCTTGATGACCAACACCAGGACAGTAGTATGTACTTGCTAAATATCAGCATTAGCTGTAGAAGTGGGTAGAATTCTGCTAGAAGGTGACTTTTTTCTCTTTTCGGAATCATCCCATTTCAGCGCACACGTCCCACATATTAGCCCCGCCCACAAGTATTTGACACTGGACTTGCCCTGTATTCGATGGTTATGCTATCATAACCTAATAATGGTACTGTGTAGCAAGTTTGAGCAGGTTCTACCGAAGGTAACTCGTGAAATAAAACTTTGAAGTTTCAAGTGATGCCATATTTCAAGAATCAGCACATTGCACTGGGACATTGTCCAACGCCTTAGAACCCCTGACTCCACCATATGACAGATACGTGTCTTACAATAATTGATTGCAACATCTTCCGAACATAGTAGTAGAGCTTTGGATCAAGTTTTAGCAGTTTCCACCGAAGCTAACTACCAAAACAGAACTTTGAAGTCGCCCACATACTAAATGCCATAGCTGAGCATGTGCATTGAGTGTATGGTCTAAAGGTTTTCACAACTAGCTCCAATGCGGCAGATACTTGGCTTACATTACTTGATTGCAACATCTTCAGAACATAGTAGTAGAGCTTTGGATCAAGTTTAGACAGTTTCTACCGAAGCAAACTACCAAAATAGAACTTTGAAGTCGCCCACATACTAAATGCCATACATGTAGATGAGCATGTGTATTGAGTGTACATGTATGTTCTAGTGTTTTTCACAACTTTCTCCAACATGAAGCCGATAGTGATGTGGAATTTGTTAACTGCTTTGTCCAAAACATAGTGCTGAAGCAATGCACATTAGGCACTTTCTACTGGTAATGTAATTATTATATTATACAGTGTTTGCTGCCAACATAGCAAGAAATTCTTCTATACTAAATGCGTATTCCACGGGGTACGGTCCAATGGCTTTTCACTTCACATCTAGCCAATGTTCTTCGTGCATTACTTGAATGCTTAGTCTCCGTGGTAATGAAGCTAAGAGCCACACTGGAGAAGTTTCTACTGAAGCTAACTATCAAAAATCTAAAATTTCCAAGATGCTACTATTACATCAAGTAGCTGTGTGCAATGCCACTCTGTTGAACACAGTAAGCAAAATCGAGTCACTAAAACCCTATTTGCCAGATACAAGCTGTTGAGACTGATAGCAGCTGTATGATCTGATATGGATGGTGGTTCCACACTGACCAGCACATGTACACTCGCACAGGCAGAAGAACACGCAAGCAATACACCTAACGTTACTTCGAAGTACACTGTGTACATCATGTAAATACAAGCGTATATACAAGCATCACTCCTGTTCTCCACAACCGGCAGTCCTGGGCCACTCCAGCTGGTCAGAGTGCAATAATTTCTGCAGCAGGCTTGACTTGGAAAGCTACTCACAACTGCCATGGCTGCAACATAAGTATTACCAGCGCTTTTACAGTGCTACTTGTATTATTATTGTCAATCCATTGTGGTGCATGGCACTCGCTTTCAACAACCGAGTTTATGTCATTAGTTGCATATCCAACGCCAGCAGAAAAAAGAGGGGGTGGGGGCAAATTACCACGGTTCAACACTAGTCATACTGAACGGCGTTATGCCATGCCAGGCACGCACACAAAACGCCCGCGCGAGCGCGCATGCATGTACACACCCGGGTGACACACATTGATGCGACTTTACATAGCCTGCACTGTCGTTCTATGTCATAGGAGTGAGTGCACACACATACATGTATAATATGTACATGTAGATTGCCTAATTTTGCATACGTATTAAAATTGTATATGTATACACACATCAGGGGCGTCGGAAGGCATTCGACATTGGTGCGGCCGCATGAGTAGGTGGGAGTCCAGGGGTGGCCCCGGGGAAACTTTTTGGGAAATTGGGCCCAAATAGCCCATATTTCATTGCTTCAAAAGTCACAAGATGAAATTATTGGTGCAGCTTTGGCCGGACCTGCCGCACCGGTTCCGACGCCCCTGCACATGTGCGTGCACATATAGATAAACTCAACGGCATACGCATGAGTATGTGCCAGTAGGGCCACATGCCAATTATCGGATTAGTCTGTGAAAGTTGCACGGCACGACAAACTTTCGGACAGTCTAAAGATATGACACAATGAATGTGGAACACCCTCCAGTGTGTAAGACCATTAATATTTTCATATCTATTTCGCAGCGTTTGTGATTTTCGGAGCGTCCCTGTTGATATTTGATGTCCTCACTTGGTTGATGACACAGTCACAAATTATCAAATTCACCTCCAATTCCATCCAATCTGCGTTCCGCGATACATGTACAGTGAACGGTGTTGAGGAAAGCCATGCAGCAATAAAACAGTCGAGACTCCCAACCAGAGGCTACAATTCAACAGCGTATTGAAGTACGAATTGTTGTAAACAATTTTCAAGACACAATTACAAAATTTGAAGTGCGTCTTGAAACGTGTTTGAAGTGCTTCGATGTATTTACCTTCGATCTCCCTGAATCGATCCATCCACAGCTACCTGACGAATTTGCTAGTCAGTGCGGGAGATGATCGAGCAAGTCATACTATTTGAAGGTCGCGAGATGTCAGTGGCACTGACAGGAAATCTACACAAGCGTGTTCTGAAATAATTTTCTAATACTCAGGCATGATTCAAGAGCGGACTTTGATTTCTCCCTTCTTGTGGTACGAGCACCAGTCGACATTGCATTCTTGGAAAATCTTCTGCGAGTGCTGCCTTCCCCTTTCATAGAAAGAACGAGTGAAGAGGGACACTAGCAGCAGGTTCTAGCTAGGTCGCCAGAATTGCAGAAAAGCGAGAAGACGTTCAACAACGATTGATCGCACAAAAATCATCGCTACCGAAAAATTTACTGAAAATCTACACTTTTCAAACACTTTTCAAACGATGCGCGCGCAGAGGGTGTGAGCCACCTTAATTGGGAACTCATGGCCTGGCACGAGAGAAACATGGATGCAGTGAATGGGATTTTCGGTGTTTGACCGTTTGGTGTTGGGTCTGATCTTCTCACCTCACACCGCTTTACGAGCTGCGTTTGCGCCTTGATCCAAGAGGGTGGTAGAATTCCTGCGGGTACAAGGTCCCTCCCCCCCCCCCCCCCTAAAACTCATCCTCTGTCCCACTTCCGAACTCCCTCCCATGCCTGTGCTGTCCACAGATGGTCGTCGGATCACTTGAATGTTTCTGGCGTAAACTGGTAAAATTGCCATGCTTCTAATTCCTCTCCTGTTGAGGGATGTTCCTCTGTATGTGTTGAGTAGTGTTCTCTGCCCTGTCCACCACAGGCCCACAGTATTTAGTGCTCTGCAATGTCGGCGTGTACAGCACACCACCATTTCGTCCCAGCTGGCCAGGTAAAACTTAGGCTCGGCTTTCCTGCGTTGTGTTTCACTTCGCAATTATCCCCGGGCTTTCTCTATGCTTGCTCTCAAGCCTAAAAAAGATGTAACTTCTTGATTTCTATAGCAAATCTGGCCGGATACAGTAGACTCGTACGCCCAAGAACGCGGTTTCAGAGGGCCAGCCTAGCAAAGTTCTTATTTTTCAGCGCCCCAGGCTACGTTCTTATTTCGCGTTCTTACGCGTCCAACAATGACCCGTACCGTGACGCTCATGTACAATGCACTTTGCGCTACATGTACCGGTTGTACACTTTACATGCACGTGTAGTATGTAGCGCTGCACTCGGGGATGTTTTCGCGAGGACCCGACAAGGGTTTGTGGTTGCGGACTTGTTTTTCGTGTACTCGGAAACGTGAAATACCAAAAAATGTCGCGTTCTTAAAAGTCTTGGAGTTCGTTCTTTAATCCAGGCTGGGGCGTTCTTAGATGTCCAGCCTGGACGTTCTTGGGCGTACGAGTCTACTGTAGTCTGCCATAGAAATGCAAACACCAGTGGGTCTGTGTGCATTTGATTGTAAGATGTCAGCTCTCAATAGCTTGTTGTTTTTGTCTACTCAGCATTAATCACAATAGTCTATCTGTTAAGGAGAAGGACAAAATGTTACAAGTCATGACTACTTAACCGTCCACCATCGTAACCTGATCATAATATAGTCAGTGAGTGCGTTGGTGGAAGGTTGGTCATAACTCCTAACATGTTTGTCCTCCGTAATTAAGTGGCTCGCCATCCGAGTTTAGTCAATCCGTTCTTGAGGATATTGATGTTCTGCTCATGGGGCTGCAGTGATGACCAAGGTAGTAAAAAAATCTTAAGTTTAATGCTCACAGTTTGATTCGTGTCTATTGTGTTCTCTCTAGCTGCAAAGCACTTGCATGAGGTGGTAAGCCGCATAGGGCAGTCGTGCGTCCATGCCTGCATGGACCTACAAATGGTACGTCATTGTCAAGTTTGATTTTCTTTCTCGCTCCACATTATACTGGCACACACGGAGACATAGACAGCAATAGCGACAACACGCAAAGTGAAGGGTAGTTGACCGCAGCCAGATCTGACTCTTTAAAAACATAATTTAGTTTGGCTTTTTTGTTAGTTGTTGTGCGAGGCAAGTGATATCATGGCCTGTGATGGCCCGTGTAGGAGGCTTTTTCACCCAAATCTTATGATTGTACTGGTGCGCAATCTTGCCCAACTCTTCTGCCACCTGCTATAAAAAAACCAGCCTCTCCCCTTTGTTCTTCAGTGCAGCTTCCTGCTTACTCTGTCAAGCTGGCTGGGTCTTGCATACTGATATGTGCAAACTGGGCTTGACGCTTGGGAAGGAACACGGCGTTCCTTGTTACTCTGGTACTTGATCTTTTATTCCTGTAGCTATGCTAAAGACGTTACTAACGCCTGCCGCTAGCCAGGGTCCACATCGCTTTAATTCGGTACTTGTAACTTTGTTTCTGTCAGGCGTTGCATGCTTATGCCAGCCCGTACATGTCCCGTACCGTACCATCAAAGACAGCTGGCCACCTTATTCAAATAGGGCTTTCAACTGAAAGATCATGACGTGAAGCAGCTTGGAAGAATGTGTATGTGTGCGAAGTGTATCGGCGGAATGCATGCAAGGCGATAGTGCGGGTTCGAATCCCATGATAGGACAAGTCAAAGAATATACTTCATGATCGTCCTTTTTTCAGAAGAAAAAGGGGAGGGCGGGCAGATTAAATTTTTATCGTTGTATTGCAAAAAAAAAAAAACTGCCACGTCACCCCAGCGCTTTCACCATCTCAATCCGGTTTCTGCCGTGGAGACTCCACAACTTTCCAACTAACACGTCTAGTACAAGACATCTACACCCAGCGGAACCTCAGGCGGCATGTTGGCATCGTGTTCTTTGACCTAGCGAAAGCTTTCGACACCGTCTGGCATCGTGGTCTGCTTGCAAAGCTAGAGTCCGTCTTCTTGGTACATGGTCCAGCCCTGCAATGGCTCTCATCCTATCTTTCCTGCCGCCACCAGACTGTCAGAGTATCTACCTCCCTATCAGACCCATTACTAGTCGTGTCTGGGGTACCCCAGGGGTCCATACTTGGGCCGCTCCTATTTCTACTGTACGTTAATGACTTGCCAGCCCTTGTACCAAATGTAAGTCTTTTTGCTGACGACACTGCTCTGATGTGCTCCGACAGCTCGGCAGACAACCTCACGGCCTCCATGCAGTCCGGGGTCAACGCTACAGTAACATGGATGGAAACCTGGAAACTGAAGCCTAACCTCGCCAAAACCGAGGCCATGTTCTTCTCTCCCTCGCCCCCCACTCAGCCCACTCAGCTTCTGTATTTTCCTGGTCTAAATAGTACACCTATTAAAGTTGTTAACGAGCACAAGCACCTGGGCGTTATTCTCGACCGCCAACTCTCCTGGTCTCCACAAGTCCAGTCTGTGTGCAAGCGTGCGAGTGCGTCCTTAGGTATGCTACAACCCCACTGCCAACACTTGAATGATAACTGCAGAAAATTGTTCTTTAAGTCGTACATTTTGCCTATATTTGACTATTGCGATATAGCTTGGTGCGGGTTGTCTCAGACTTTACTCCACAGACTGGAAGTACATCAACGCTTGCTTCTGAAAATTCTGTTTCGAAAAGACCAAACATTTGCCTCCCTTTGTCTTTATAAACTTGCTTCCACGCACCCTCTTCTTGCCCGACATCAGCAGCATCTTTGTATCCTTGTGCAAAAAATCTTCCTAGCCCAAGTCCCGAAACATATTGCCAAGTACAACTGGTTTGTTACCACTAGACCAACACGCAATGCCTTATCACTGCCCCGAGCTAGTTCCTCTCTGTTTTTGAAATCCCCTTTCTTCTCAGCATACTCCCTTTGGTCTAACCTGCCTACTAGCATTAAGACATGCCAGGATATCAGGAAATTCAAAGTCCAGCTTTCCACACTGTCTCATCCGAAGTGATCCCATGTATTACTAATGTGCCTCCCTTTCTTTTTCTCTCCCTATCTCCTTTCCCTCTCTGACAGCATCTTTCTTTTTCTCCCTTTTAGCTTGCCGTGGTTGGCTATCACCTGACCTCTCATGTTTATTGGCAGTCTTCGGACGGGCCAGGAGATGTTGAATAAAAAAAAAATAAAATAAATAAAAAAACGTTTCCATCAGTTCGAATGACATACACGATGACCCAGGCAAAAAAGCATAGCGAGGGCCCTGAGCTTTCAAGCTCTCTCGTTTTTAATGAGGTAAAGTCTGCCAAAGTCTGTCACAGTGCTAAATTGGTAATGTACTTCATGGCTGTGTTTCTTTCCGCAGGTCTGTGAACCGGCTTTCTTCCCACATCTGAACAAAGACGACGTGAGTCCTGCTGACCCTGTGCTCTTTAACCTTTTCCACCCCAGCCTGAAATCCATGAATTTCCAGTCGCTCGATGAACCTTGCTCTCTGTTGCCCTGCAGATGAGACCAGTGATTTGAAAAGTTCTAACTTCACTCAGAAATGGAAGTTGGTCATCTTGGGCTCTTTGGAAGGCTTAAAGCCTTCTCTGTCCAAACGAAACGAATAATCACTCAGCAGGAGCAATAGAGTCTCCTTCATGCTCCGTTGAGAGCTGCTCTATGGGGCCTCAAAGAGATACTCCAGACGCAGTCACAAATGTCTTCGCTTCTACAGGTTTACTCAGCGCAGAGCAAAAATTCAAACTCTGTCAGATTCCTGAAGTTCAAGCGCTCATTTTGGTACCCGACACGCATGGGCTGTGCCCCTGTGAGTCATAGGGAAAGTCCCTTCCCCGCGGATCTCCACTTGAAAACCCAAGGTGCGAAATTGTGTGCCCTGTATTTCGCGCGTAAATTGCGTTTCCACCTTCGGCGCTCCGGTATTTTACTTTTCGCCCGGCAAACGACATACCGGTGGAAAGCTTATTCCTTCAACTTTCCAACGAGCCGTCACGTGTGAGAATCGAAGAAAGAATAACAGAGGTACGAAGGTTTGAATAGCAAGGTATACCCAACCCGAGTTCTGTGTTCATAATGATGAACAGTACATTTTCTAGTAAAGAAAAAGGACCAAGAAACTACAAGTTACGCTATACTGTCCACTAGCATCACCAGTTACTAAACAATCAGGTCATGCGATAACATTGCACGATACTGCGTAACTTGTAGTTTCTTGGTCCTTTTTTCTTTGCTATACATTTACCCTTGGCGCTCCATCCGAGTACATTTTTTACCCGAGTATACTCGGGCTTGGGAAAACAGGGCATCCTACAAAACGAGTTTACTCGTGCGCGGGGTGCAAAAAGTTAGGCTGACATGATAGCGTTCAACTACTAACACAACTTGTATAAATTACTATCCATTGGAATCTGCAATGTTTGCTTTCACCTGTCCGATGGCTTGCCGCGGTTACCTTGTTTGATTCACGAACATTTGCCCAAAGTGTGAAGAAGGCTTGCCGACTGGGTCATGCTAAGGACAAAAGTTCAATTGATAGGATAGCAGGGAAACACTCCAGCATTGCTCAGGCGAATCGTGTTTGCGAACCAACACGTTTGCGAACCAACACGTCACTGATTCCAGGTCCGATCAGGACTCGCTGGACCCAACGCCTTGCTCATGTCTTAATTGTCTGTCTTATGCTTTCAGGTTCTGAAGAGAGCATTCAATTGTACAAGTGTAGTACGGACGAGAGTCGTCAATGGCTTGTAAGTTGGTACACGTTTCCCTTCCTGCCTATATTGATAGCCAAATTATCTGCCTCTCTCGTTGAAGTGACCTCTCTCTCTCTCTCTCTCTCTCTCTCTCTCTCTCTCTCTCTCTCTCTCTCTCTCTCTCTCTCTCTCTCTCTCTCTCTCTCTCTCTCTCTCTCTCTCTCTCTCTCTCTCTCTCTCTCTCTCTCTCTCTCTCTCTCTCTCTCTCTCTCTCTCTCTCTCTCCCATCACAGTATTCGCTTTTAAAATGGGTTTTAGTATTTCCCCCAGAACGAAAAGCATGGTGAATTTGATCTACCAGTCAGTTCTGGTGAATTCAGGTTGCTCAATTCCAAGAAAAATGACCCGAAGATTGTTCAATATAGCAACAAGGACGACTAATTGCACTGTAAGCATTCCCTATATGTCGACATGTATGAATCGAATGTGGAACGATGATCGCAAGGCACGCAACGTAAGGGGAAGAAAGGATTTGTTCAGAACTGTTTTCTTGTTGACACAATGGTTGCCTCTTTGCTTTGTCATACCACAACCATTCAACGCGGTGAACCCCTCGATAGGCAATTTGCCTTTGGGTCATCCTAATAAAGTTATTATTATTATTATTGTTACATTCATCAGTTAATCTACGTAAGAATGGCATGGGGACTTGCACCTTTTTAGAAAGTTTTACTTCCGGGGGAGTACTTTATGTTGGATTGTACCTTTAGCGATAGTGTGACTACTCATAAACTGGTTTGGTGCTGGTTTGTTGTGTAGTGAGAGAGAGGCTGGCAAGGCAAAACATTCTCCATTGACTTAGTTTGTGAGAAATACCAACTGGATCATGATGTTATGTCCAATGATATTTTCTGTACATTCTGCTTCCTATAGGTTGGAGAGTGTGATACAAGAGCTGGCAGCATACCCGGGTATGCACACCAAGTCACGCCAGTGCACTGTCAATCTGGAGAGGCTGTTGTTGGACTGCAGTGGTTAGTTTACCCTACTCGTCTGTCACCCGGGTCATGCCCCTGATGCACTGATTCAACCCCACTCACCCGGGTCATGCCCCTGATGCACTGATTCAACCCCACTCACCTGGGTCATGCCCTGATGCACTGATTCAACCCCACTCACCCGGGTCATGCCCTGATGCACTGATTCAACCCCACTCACCCAGGTCATGCCCTGATGCACTGATTCAACCCCACTCACCCAGGTCCATAGCCAGCAATCGCATGTCATCACGTACATTCAAAATCAACATAATTTTGCGAATCAACCTTTTTTTCAGGATCACTTTTCAACGAGGACGAAGCAAAGTCGGCCGAACGAAGCCTAGAGGAAGAAAATCACCCTCTCCACTTCACCATCACGATACTGACATAGATACGAGATGAAACAACTAAAAAATCCACAAGAAAACTGTACGGCCATCATCGCTCTGACTTTGGTCTGACTTTGGTCTGAGAATTTCTATCACGATCAAAAATGTACGAGGAGCGCTCAAAAATAAGCTACAGACGTACCTTTATCGCTCTCTACTCCTTTTTCAAGGCACAAAAGTCGACTCTCCACTTTCGAACCAGGAACCAGACATACCAGTGGTCCTTTTCAGCTGCTCCACGAGCGCAGGAAATGTTCACCAAGGGGCGCAGAGCAGCATTCATTCCAGAAAAAGAGCTAAAATACGAGTGAGACTGCATGCCTGAGTACATGAGTACATGTATGAGTACATGCAGAAAATAGTCAATTTCAGCGTTTCTGCTCCAAACAGCAACTAGCTTCGACTAGAAACAAAGATTACACCAAAGGATCAAACAACAACCATTTTCTGCAGGTTTTTTGCAGATGGCTTCCTTGTGCTTGGCCCAGCACGCCAAAAATCCCACCTTAAAAATTTAAAAAATTTCACGGTTCGCGTGAGACTCGGCTGGAAGCCCCTTGGAGGAGTACAAAAATTACGACTCTCAGATGTCCTCGATTGCTGGCCATGATGCCCTGATGCACTGATTCAACCCCACTCACCCAGGTCATGCCCTGATGCACTGATTCAACCCCACTCACCCAGGTCACGCCCAAATCCATTGAAACAGCCCCACTCGCCCAGTCTAACCCGAGTCATGCCCTAATGCACTAGCACCCCCCCCCCCCCCCACTAAGTCTAACCCGGGTCATGCCCTAATGCACTAAGGTACCCTCACTAACCTGAGTCATGGTATGATGCCCTCTAAAACCCCAGTATATCTTATAGGGCGTGTCTTAAAGCAACCCCAGTCACCTGGGTTGTACACCCTGCAAAGATCTAAGGCTCAGCAGTGGCTGCAAATTGTTGTAGCTGCTTATCAAACCTCTCGTTTTGCCTTTTTGTTTGTTGTTTGTTGGTTGTTTGTTTGCTAGGAACATCTGCAGACGTCCAGCGGCTATGCCCATGTCGGAGATATCAGTCACAACAGGTCGCCCTGCCACCTGCTGATGTTGTGTGATGGAGCCTGAGCCTTCATGGTTATTTTGTGTTTTGATTAGGTATACCGCCTGCTGATGTTGTGTGACGGAGCCTTCAGTGTTGTGTCGTGTTGTGTTTTGATTGGGTATAACAGGACTTATATTCCTCAAATACGCAGACAGATTTTCATTTACTCACGTGGTATTATTGATAACCGCAATCAATAAGGCAAGCTGAATCGACTTACTCTTCTACTTTGTATCATAAGGCAGAACCTAAACGTACGTCAACTCTAAAACATGAAGTTGATTGTTCCAACTAGGAACACACGCTTCTTGCCGAACTTGACACTTGACTGACTCACGACTGCCATCCGGAGCACACGAGGAGCACGTCGCACCTTCCACTCGGCAAACCTGCAAGAAAGCACCACTCCCTGCTCAATACACGGTGTTTCGGGGAATTCACCCCTCATCAGTTGAGTTGAGTTGAGTCAGTCAAGTGTCAAGTTCGGCAAGAAGCGTGTGTTCCTAGTTGGAACAATCAACTTCATGACTATTACCGCCGAAGTCGCAACTTCTAAACTCTAAAACAGTCTCTTTAATGTTGCTGAGAGTTACTTTACATTTCTCCACATATATCAATGCATGCACATCTACCACACTTTTTTTAGAAATGGTTATGTCCTCACCTCCATAGTCTGCAACATCCCCTATTATCTTGCAAACCGGACTAAACGGAGATCACCAGATTTTATCGAAATTATGCTTCAACGATATTACGGAAATCATTTATTTTGATGTCGAGTGTGCATTTGTGGCTTTTCCCCAGTGGCTCCGAGATATTTGAGCAGTTTGAGCAGTAGAGGATCTTGGTACGACACATGGCCACAGCGGCATATGCCCAAGACTTCGGCTACCCACACACCACTAGCCTGCATCAGCCACCTAATACTACCGGCACTGCAAGGCCCAGCACCCAGCCGCCCAGAACACTCATGTGTAATTATTTTCAGCACATTGAACCCAACCCACATGCACGCACACACATACACACGAATGACTTACGACTAGTACTAGTAGGTAGGCACATGAATGTGTGTACGGATTGGAGAAGGAATGGAGGGGTGTGTGTGTGGGGGGGGGGGGGTGGGGGGTCTCTGAGAAAGTCTTCTTTGGTAATGTGACTATGCCCATGTCGCCATCCATCGCGACATGGACGGCCTGACAATAGTACTCAGATTCTCGGTCATGATTGTACGGTATCTGTACTGTACATGTAGGATGATGCAGGATAGTATAGGCAGATAGCCTATATATACCCAAGCCAAGGATGCCACGAAAAACTCCCATCTGTCGACATTGGCAAGAGTCGCATCCGCGTGCGACCCAGTAAGTGAGTTCACCATGTAGATGATCCACCACCTGCACCGGTACCGCACCGGTCTTTGTGACGTGAGGTGGCGCAGTCGCCTGGTCACGGGAGAAAAGAGAGCGCAGAGCGCGTAGAATCTGCGCAGTCTAGTCTGGTCTGGACTCTTGTCTGTGTAGATTTGACTGATCAATGCCAGCCCAGAACTAATACCGGTAATAATATTATTACTTAGAAGGCAGAAGCACGGCCCGGGAGGACGAGGTGCACGTCACGTGTGCACCGCTTGGCTCTTTTTCAAGTCTTTGATTCGAATTATTATTACGGGAGACCGGTAAGCTGTGATTGTGGCGAGCAAAAATCTTTGCTCTCGCTATCCGGTATCTCGTCCTGCGGCTATACGTGTTCCAGAGTCAAACAGACAGAAGTCCAGACCGCACGTTCGCCCTCGCCATGTCCAGGCAACTGCAGCCTGGCCGGGCTGGTGCAATCTTGCTCGCGATCGTGGCGGGTGCGCTCAGTGTGGGTTCCACGCCACTCGACGACTATGTCAATGCTGCCGATTCGAATTACAAGTACGAAGAGGTAGCGCCACCGTTCAAAGGAGAAGGCTACACCACTCATTACCTCAACATGACCTCACAGAGATGGCTATCGGGTAGGCTGTTTGCGACGTGTCTCCTCTAGTCTAGATTACTAGTAGGACAGACTTGGTGTGGGTGGAGCCCCAACGCACCCCTAGCATTTGATTGGTTTTTGATTAGTAAATCAGAAAGAACTACATTAAAAAAATTTTTTTTCAAAGCTAACGGATTTTATCAATATAATGTGTACTGTAGTTCACCCCCATACTACTACAGCACGGACGTGCAAATATTGCAGAAGACTTGCGATGTCATAGGCTATTCATCATGTACTATGTTACAATACGCGTCACGTTTGGGAATTCCACGTGCTGGCAGACGTCGTTTTCATGCAGCTGCATTCACACAGGCACGTACACGCTTTTCGTACAGCTGTGCGTCCAGCTTTTTGGACACAAACTGCCGGGAACGATAGAATGAATCTCACTACAAGGGGTCTGGATACGTCGTCTACGTTTTCGTATCAGGGGTTCGATTTTCCCACCACATTCCATGTTGTCATGGTTATTCAGACAAAAACGTCAGGCGTAGTATGAATGGCCCATTACCAGGCGACTATAGCCTTGACGGGGTCGTATGTATGTGCATGTACGTGTGTGTACAATCGTGTGAATGTGTGTGTGTATGTCTATCTGTCTGTGCGTCAGTGTGTTGGTATGTTCGTTAGTGTGTCTGTGTTTAAGAGGGGGTAACATTGTGGAGAGAACCACACAGGCCGCGTTACCTCAGATGTAACAATCTCAGCATAATTATGTCAAAATCTTCCTATTCATCTGTTGATCCAGCTCAGCTTTGCTTTTTTTCTTGTTGCTGGACTTGGAAACATGATCTTCAGACCTCTTATCGTGATTGTAGAATAATAATAATGAAAAACTATAATACAGTGCGGCTGTCTCAGGCTCCCCAACCCCCCCCCCCCCCCCCCCCTCCCCCCAACACCAACACCACCTTCAAGAATGGCGTTCACGTGGCAAGTTGCTCTAACTGACCACGAATCATGGTAGTTTGGTCTGACCTGTTCGCAGGTGCAAAAAAGGCTTTCCTCTGAAATACATGTGAAATAAATCTAGATTACAGGTACAGTCAAACCTCGTTAGGACGAACTTCAAGGGACTGAACAAATTTGTTTGTCTTATCGGGAGTTCTTCTTATCCAGATCTGACAAAAAATCGATATGCATATCAGATGGATTGTATTTACGTGAAGGTGCATGCTGTGGTAAACGTGTACATGGGAAGCATGTCATTCTTAGCATAAGCCAGAAACAGGTAAGTACAATGACAAAGTGCAATGAATCACGACTGTGTCGAAAGTTCGTACAACGCACTGATTGATTTGTTCAAAACACGCTTGAAAGCAATTTGCACTGTACGTACAATATGACCTCGACTATAGAAAAAAAGAAGAAGAAAAAAAGCAGCCAGCGCACGCGCACGCTCGTGGACCGAAAGTTCGCACTACATGTACATGACCACACTGACTTTGTTCAAATCACACTTGAAAATAGTTCGTCTTCGCGAAAGTTCGCTGTACAGAAGTTCGTCGTAAACGAATAATTTTGACTTGAATTGATGCCTGGCCAACCATAGGATTGGCCTTAGTTCGTACTAATGGAAAGTTCGCCTTATCAGTGTTTGTCCTAACGAGGTTTGACTGTATATCATCCCAACAGCTACATGTATGCTTTTTATCTGTAGGCAGCAGCGCTTCTGGGAGTTGTACACTCTTTTCAGTCGCCATAGCGACCGGGTAACCCATACTAGTGGTGACCTATTTCCATGATTCTAGTTGCAAGACCTGATGCTGCTGCTGCTGATCCTTGTCAAGGTTCTATATCAGCCATACATTCTAGGCCGAGAATGATTTCCATCAACCTAGTTGCGATTCTCGGTCTTTTGCCTGCATTTTTTGCAGATGAACTGGTTTCACCATCAATCTGGTGGCATTGGCTGGCCGTCACCATTCCGGACAACTTGACTGACCCGGAGCACGCTTTTCTTTACATCACTGGTGGCAGCAATCATGATCTTAGGTGAGCACTCGCATCCTGCAACGTGCAGACGCACACTCGGACTGGCAGGTCCGGGATAGACGTGCGCCTGTGCTCCTTTTGTCCTGTGATTCTGCACCACGTGATACGTATAGTTTCTGCTTTTTCTCAACCTATCCTACCCGACGGTTTGAAGATAGCAGAGCTGGGTTGAACTATGTAGACTTATGTAGACTGGCAAATGTACAGATCGTCTGTGTATCCATGGAAATGGCACTCTTTTCAACAAAATTTAGTACATCATACTGTACATTTTTCAGGGCTGGAACTTAATGGGTAAGCCTGTGTTCGTGTATATAGTAGACTCCTGATATAACGAACACCATTGTGCAGGAGAATAAGTTCTTTATAGCCAAAGTTCTTTATAACAGAAAAGTCAGAAAGGCACTTGCATCATCAAAGCAACACATCATGACTGGCATTCGGCCCACGACCGTATGAGCGCACTTGCCTTACACGCGGCCCTACAAGATATGGTTTGTCACAAACAAGAACAGTTTGCTACGTAGGGTAAATTTTGTATGGGTTCAGGAACATGGACACTGGTTCGCTATCCCGAAATTCTCTACACCAGAGTTCGTTATATGTGGAGTTGACTGTACTTCCGGCTAGAGGCTTCTTTTTTTCCGAAATCCTTTCTACTCAACTCTACCACCTTGCCAAAAAGGAATGCACGTACAGTAAAACCTGGTGTACGCGACCTCTGGGTTTAACGACCACCTGCTCTTAACGACCGTTTTTTCCAAGCACCGACAGTTCTACACAGAAACTGTGGGACCTGGTTCTAGGGACTACCTGGCTTTAACGACCGCTTTTGCTTGCACCGTGGGGTGGTCGCTTAAACCAGGTTTTACTGAACAGGATACTAATCCTGTACCATTTGTGGCCTGGATTACAGTCAACTTCGCTAAAATCGACTGCGGATATAACGACAATTCGCGAATAACGACATGATTTCCATGCCCAGAGCAAAGCCCCATCTAACTGTAATACATATAATGAGACTTCGGGTATAAGGACACTTCGCGAATAAGGACACTTTTCAGGTGCCCCGCCGAGTGTCGTTATACGCAAAGTTGACTGTACGTAGGGTACTAAGTTAGCTGGATTAACATACAGTCGAACGCCGATTATCCGGACATCAACTAAAGTGCGCCTCGTGCCTGTTTTACTGCCTGTCAGAATGAAAAATGATGAAAACATGCGGGGAATATGCATCTTTTAGATAGATGTGTGACTGATCCCCTATCTGAACAATCTTCTCATCCGAACCCCTTGGAGACAGCCCGTGCCCCGAGGGGTGCGGATAATCGGCATTCTACTGTAGTGGTATCTTGTTCACTGTTACACCACTACACCACTACACCACTACACCACTACACCACTACACCACTACACCACTACACCACTACACCACTACACCATTACACCATTACACCACTACACCACTACACCATTACACCACTACACCACTACACCACTACACCACTACACCACTACACCACTACACCACTACACCACTACACCATTACACCACTACACCACTACACCACTACACCACTACACCACTACACCACTACACCACTACACCATTACACCATTACACCACTACACCACTACACCACTACACCATTACACCACTACACCACTACACCACTACACCACTACACCATTAGACCACTAGACCATTAGACCATTAGACCATTGTGCATATGAGTGAGACACTGTACTCTGCATGTAGACAGTGCAGCGATATTGTGAATTAATGTAGAATTGATGTACAATCTCTTTAGGGCGAACACCAAGGGACCGACGGTATTTGTTCGCAATAACGGGAGTTTTTTTGCCAGCTAGCTGGCCTCTGCGTACACCGCAGACACACCCACACACAACAGAAAGATACAGATCACAGTAGTAGTGTGGTCTTTGTTCACTCACGATGTTCTTCTTATCCATATGTCTTACCCAGTAGATACACAGTGATGAATCCAATAGCGCTTGGAATTCTAGTTCTTCTTTTAAAAGCGAACGTTTGTCTTATCAGTGTTCTTCTTTACTGTTTTGTTGCAGTCCCCCCGATCCAACGTCGTCGGACATCTTCTTCAGCAGCACCATAGCTCTGACTACTGGCTGGTAGGTTTCACAAATCTGTATTGGCTGTTCGAACACCTTTTAAAGGCTAGCAATCTCCACGAGAATGCCTTAATTCCTGATGACGGCGTGTGATTAGCTTACTAGCTGCTTTGTTTTAAATTCGAAATGTGTCCTATCTGTGCATGCAAGTTAAAACAGAGAGGTTCCAGGCTGTCCAAGAGAGTGCTCAATACCGAGTGGTAGAGCTGGTTCAAACAATAGGAGGACAGAGAAAGTGTTTTTACTCCGAGTTTCACGCACTAAGCGATCATCAGAAAACAGTGATGATAAATCTGGATCAGTATTTGTTTATATACTCACAAAGCAAAGTGTAAATAGCTGCAGCATGGCGCAAATCTAAAAGTTGTGAATGGCGGCAGTGCAAAGTGTGAATGACTGCATCGTGAGGCAAATCCAAAAGGCAAATCCAAAAGTTCTATGTAAGTTCTATGTAATTGTGTCGGTTCACAGTGGCACATCCCATGATTACATCCACATCTACAAAGAAACTGTAGGGCAGCAGCCACCTCTAAGCGCCTTTTTCCCATAATCTCGTTACTCTCGGTCAGCGAGAATGAAGAATACAGTCTACTGTCCAAACTACCAAGTGAAGTGAAATGGGCATGTTCATCGTGCAAGGAAACTTACAACGATGTGTTTGTGCAATTTATGGCCCGGTAGTGTATGTGGATGCATGGCGTTAAATAACCGATAGCCGTTGATATCGTCTATGATTTGACAGACAAACACAATACGCTGCATTTTAAGCAATGAGCATGCCCGCAATTTAGGCTGAACATCGCAGATGCGCTCTATACTCCGGATAAGTTAGCTTGATGTAAATGTATATGTATGAATGCACCGCATGCAAAGCTTGGTTCAACTGGCTGCCTCGCTGTCTACCTTGTCAATTATTGAATCGGCCGACTGTGCATGCTGCCGACTTCTCTGTCTAGCTCAGCAATGTATCCGCTCCTAAGTTTTCCAATGCCAATTTTGTCCTGCAAGTAGCTATGTAACATTTCCTATGCCGTGAAAGTTCTCCTGCCGAGTGCCCTGTAACATGCCCAGCAACCTGTCCTACAACCTGTCTAGCAACCTGCTCTGTATCCTCACTATCTTGCTGCTGAAATCAGGCATTCGTTGTACTTCGTGGAGCGATTCTGCTTTGCTGGTTCTTTTGCCATGTGCAGCATTTCGGCAAGCTTGTTCCAGATTCCCAACCAACCGACATTGTTCTCTGTAAGCAGTTCACAATGTGTTGTTCTGTAAAACGAAGAAGTTCACACGTGTTACGCCTTGCCGATCCCAGTATAACTAATACTGTGCTCCACCTTGGCGAGTACTTAAAGTAGTTTTTTTCAGGTGGGAGGCTTGTATGATACCTATCACGGTGGTGGTGTATAATGAGGCCATGCGTTATACTGCATAGTGTCCTGTACTGCTGAGCCGATCATAGGCGACTCTGAATGCTTCACCTTTGTGATCAGTTCAGATCATCACTCTGACTGCCTTGCCTCTCTCTCACTGAAACCCGTTAACCGCAAGGTTGAGACCGCTGTCTGTCTGGAGATTGGCTTTTTTCGTATACTAGCCTGGTTGTTGTTGTTGTTGTTGTTGTTGTTGTTGTTGTTGTTGTTGTTGTTGTTGTTGTTGTTGTTGTTGTTGTTGTTGTTGTTGTTGTTGTTGTTGTTGTTGTTGTTTTTGTTGTTGTCGTTGTCGTTGTTGTCGTCGTCGCCATCAAAGTTTTTATCCAGTTTTCTTTTCTTCTTCTTGTATTGTTTGGAAATAGCAGAGGTATCACCCACCAGATACGTATTGCAATGATGAAGTACTCTGCATAGCTTGATGACAGAGAGAATTGGAGAAGTGAGAGGCACTTGAAGAGCATTTGTGACAATTTTGGAACGTCAACTAGTGAGACCTGTTGAGTCAGCTCCTTTGCCACCTTAAGATTCGCAATGAACTCATGTGTACATGTGTGCATGTTATGCACATGTTGCGTACCTCAGGAAGACCCACTTCAGAAGCACCGCGATGAAGATGCCGTCATTGCTTACACCTGGTACCATTTTCAAAAGCACCCCGACAAGCCGGAGTATTTGCTGCGTCTGCCAATGACAAAGGTATAGTACTAGCATTCACCTCTCCTCTAACATACCTCTCCTCTATACATACCTCTCCTCTATACATACCTCTCCTCTATACATACCTCTCCTCTAGACATACCTCTCCTCTATACATACCTCTCCTCTATACATACCTCTCCTCTATACATACCTCTCCTCTATACATACCTCTTCTCTATACATACCTCTCCTCTATACATACCTCTCCTCTATACATACCTCTCCTCTATACATACCTCTCTTCTATACATACCTCTCCTCTATACATACCTCTCCTCTGTACATGCCTCTCCTCTATACATATCTCTCCTCTATACATACCTCTCCTCTATACATACCTCTCCTCTATATATACCTCTCCTCTGTACATACCTCTCCTCTATACATACCTCTCCTCTGTACATACCTCTCCTCTATACATACCTCTCCTCTATACATACCTCTCCTCTATACATACCTCTCCTCTATACATACCTCTCCTCTATACATACCTCTCCTCTAGACATACCTCTCCTCTAGACATACCTCTCCTCTATACATACCTCTCCTCTATACATACCTCTCCTCTATACATACCTCTCCTCTATACATACCTCTCCTCTATGCATACCTCTCCTCTATACATACCTCTCCTCTGTACATACCTCTCCTCTATACATACCTCTTCTCTATACATACCTCTCCTCTATACATACCTCTCCTCTATACATACCTCTCCTCTATACATACCTCTCTTCTATACATACCTCTCCTCTATACATACCTCTCCTCTATACATACCTCTTCTCTATACATACCTCTCCTCTATACATACCTCTCCTCTATACATACCTCTCCTCTATACATACCTCTCCTCTATACATGTGAAGAGAGTGCAGCTTAAAACAAAAGCTCTCTGTGGAAAGGATTAGTGCTTTAAAGGTTTACTTAGACTCGGACGAAGAGCCAAGGACTAATTTATAGGAAGAAAAAGAGGACCAAGGAACTACAAGTTGGGCTATAATGTCCATTTCACCATCAGTTACTTTACAATCAGCTCATGCGATAACATCGCACGACACGGACAAACGGTACTGATATTCTACACCTAACTGACAATCAGCGCTAGCACATTTCAATAATTGCTAATATGCTGGCAAATAATGGACAGTATGGCAGTGTGCTCAAAATATTGTGATTCATGTGCGAAATCAGGGGCGGATCCAGGAGGGGTTCCAGGGGTTCCACGGAACACCCTAAATTTCGTAAAAAAAATGTACTCCATGTACTGGCAACCATATGCGTGTCCATGTACATGTATCGGCTATTCAGTTTTGACTATACTGGAACCCCGCTGTAGAGATCACTGGATCCGCCGCTGGAAATCATGCATTGTTCTCTCTGCCTCTGTCTCTAACTCTCAGCACTCATTTCTCTCTTTCTCCCCCCCCCCACCCTCTCTCACTCTCTCTCTCTCTCTATCTATCTGTCTGATGAATTTGTCCACAGGCTGCAGTCAGAGCGATGGATACAGTTGCTGCATTTGGCAAAGAGAAGCGCAATATGACGGTCGCGAGCAAGTTTGTTGTTGCTGGAGCATCAAAGGTAAGAAGGAAGAGTTGCACTAAGCACTGTGATTCCTGTAGAATCATGTCTAGACTTATATCACTAACTTGGAGTACTGTTTTTGCCTCTTAAAGAGTTTATGCTCTGGATGCACGAAGGACAGAAGATGGAGAGTGGAAAGTCAAATGCCCCTGATGTAGTTACCGTAGCTTTGCTGTTCCATTGTGTGCTTGTTTGTACTTTGTGAGAAGTACATGTGAACCTTATTTTAAATGATTATTGAATCTCTCTGTCTTTGCCTGCCTCTGTCTGTCTGTCTGTCTGTCTGTCTGTCTGTCTCTGTCTCCGTCTCTGTGTGTGTCTGTGTGTCTGTCTCTGTCTCTGTGTGTGTGTGTGTGTGTGTGTGTGTGTGTGTGTGTGTGTGTGTGTGTGTGTGTGTGTGTGTGTGTGTGTGTGTGTGTGTGTGTCTCTCTCTCTCTCTCTCAATCTCTCTCTTTCTCTTTCTGACATACTCTAACACTCACTTGTTTGATAGCGTGGCTGGGCCACCTGGACCACAGCTGCTGTTGACAAGCGGGTTGTGGGAGCTATTCCTCTTGTGATGGACTTGCTCAATGCCAACAAAGTGAGTACAGCAAGGACACCATCCAATTTTCATTGTACATGATAAGCGGCTCTTACCCTTGCTGCTAGTTTTAGCTGATTTTAACAAAGTTAAGTTAGTTTTAACAATATTAGGTGGTTTTAGCTAGTTTAAGCAAGTTTAACAAGTTTCAGCAAGGTTTACTAGCTAGATCTGGAAACTGCCATTCAGTTCTTGCAAGTCACGGCTATGCTATAGTACGAGCCAATATGGTAGTCACTCGGTAGTTACTAAGCTATCATAACTAATCTTCCAACAGCTGCTTTCCATTGGGCAAAGTATGACGGGCTGACTTTCCTGTCCATCAAATCCTGGCCGCCTGTCCACACTGGACCCGATTTTGAAGTTGTCCCTACATAACTACAGTATTTTCTTATGCTGGTTCCTCAGCAGGATGGAGTTTGCATTGGCGGGTATACAACATTAGGAATCGCAGATTTTCTGCCACACACACACACACCTATGTTGGTTGTGCCGTGTCCCCGTTGTGTCACTGCTCCAGGTCCTGCACCATATGTACCGCTCTCTCGGTGGCTGGACTTTCGCCTTTGACGACTACCTGGCGCTGAACATCACCCAAAACCTGGACACGCCAGAGACACAGCAGATGTTCGACATAGTTGATCCTTACTGTTAGTTTGAGCTGTGAATGGTATTTACAGCTGCACTGTAGTTGGTGACAACCTTGTTGTTCATAGCAGCCATGGTTGTGAAAGCTTCCATGCCGAATGGAGTATTGTAAAACCGGAAAGTCTAACGAGTCACAAAGTCTAACGTTTTAACGACCAATAGTTTTTCGTTATTTGAAAAAATCGTTATCGCTAGATGTCTGTGTGAAGATGTGCATACAGATGGGTGGCCAGCTAGACATCTTTAAATTTCCTGCACGTAATCATGCCAAAATTACTAAAACGTTAAACTTTTTGGTCGTTAGACTTTCCGGTTTTACAGTATTGTACTGAAATGGGACCACCTAGTGAAGTCCTTACCACTATCACCAGAAAACATTACAGGCAGTGTTGTTGGCAGCTCAGGCAGGCTAGGGAGCTTCGCAGTGTATGGCTAGGCCACTACTGCGCCCTACAGTATGATCAGGTGCCGTAGAACACTTTGCCGAAGAACACTTAGGCTGGAAAATGGCACAAATCGAAGAAAAATCCAGGCTTGATTTGCAGGAAAAGGAACACATGTGCTGCTTTATACTTCGAAGTATGTGGTGTGATCACATCGTATGATGCTCTCCATGATCGCAGAATAAGAGCAAAACTACTATAATCTGAACATTTTAGAACAATACCAGGCTGCGCCTTTAGCCCCTCCGTTCTTTGGTGGCCGATCTTACTGTACCTAGAAGAGGGTGTGTATGTGTGCTGTGTGTGTGTGTATGTGTATGTGTGGGTACGTGTGCGTGTGTACCGGGTTCAAATCCCGACGATTATGGTCACACATGTCTTTCTTCTCTTTCTCATTCTCCTAGCTCTTCTTTCATTCTCCTGGATGGTTACCAACAACCAGTGCATGCCGGAGTATGTGGTGGCGGTGTGTTGTGTGTGTGGAAAAAAAGAAAAAAGAAGAAGAAAAATAGGGATTCACTGGCCAGAAAAAGCCACTTCAATCAGCTGTGTGGTGTTGACCAGGCTAAAATTAGTAGTGGCAGTCAATAATGTATCAGCCTTTCAAGCTGTTGAATGGTGCAATCCCAGAAGAAGTTGCTATGTCTAACATAGCTGTTCCCTATCAGCGCTTCTGCGATGGGCATGTCTGAGTCTGAATTTGAGTGTCACGTGCATAATTATACATGTGTCATCGTCTTGTCTTCCTCAGCCTACATCGATCGCCTTACGATGCCAAAGTTTCTCATCTGCACCGGGGGCGATGAATTCTTTGAGCCTGATGACACACACTACTATTGGAAGGATCTGAAGGGTGAGACATACACAAGGTATGGCCACTATATATCCCTGGCTACTACACAGAATGTCCCTTACCTGGGCGATCAGGTAGATTTTACGACATAATGCAACCGCTGCCATCGGAGGCCACCTTTGATTTGAGACTTATCCTCTCAGTGTTATTCAGTCCATTCAGATGACTACAGAGACAACTGGGTTAACTTCCCACGTAACATGGGATGGCTACTAAGTAAGGGATCGGAGTGGAAATGATTGGGCAGGGGTCGAGAAGAGGGAGTCAGGGAGAGGGGTCGGGGGGGGGGGGGGGGATGGGAGACTAAGGAAGACTGCTATACCAATGTTCACAATTTAGGAGCACACATCGATTAGTTGAACCTGGAAATGGTTCCAAACTGACTGCAGTGAACGACTCCTTGTTGCCTTTAACATGCCAGAATTAGAAGCTGACCCTGCCCCCCCCCCTTCTTTACCGACAACTTCAAATTTTGATCCAGGCTGTGTTCCTGTACAGACGGTTGCAATTCTGTAGCCTTCACAAGATATACAAGACGGCTGCAGTAGACATTCAACATGATTGTGATAGTGCATGCCTCATCCATATCCTCTATACTTCAAAGTACTGTGGCCCTCTGATAAGAGGTACAGCATGAGTAGCTGGAAATTACAGTGTATACTAGTGGTATCCAAGGCACTTCTCATCCTAGCATCATGACTAGTCCGGCTTCAGCATGGATAAGTAGTACACCTGTGCTCCTGTTGATGTCTGTACTGAGCAAGAGTCTGTGGTATTGGAATCCGTACACGTACAAAGTGACTTTCACTGTAGAACTCTCTCTCCCCCTCTCTCTCCCTATCTCTCTCTCTCTCTCTCTCTCTCTCTCTCTCTCTCTCTCTCTCTCTCTCTCTCTCTCTCTCTCTCTCTCTCTCTCTCTCTCTCTATCTATCTATCTATCTCTCTCTCATGGATGTATTGGAACCAATTTCTTCCATGCTGTTTTCTATTCCTGTGCAGGATATTTGCCAATGCAGAGCATTCAATGGCAGGTCATTTCATCAGTGTGATGTTCGCTGCAAGGGCGTTTATCCTTAGCATTTTCCACGTAAGGGCTATGCGAATAGAACCCTATCATTTTTTGTTGGGCCAAACACAGCTGGCTTTCCAATACAACTGATAGTGCAGGGCAGGGATAGGGAAATCCCCTCCATCAGTACACAGCCTCCTATTGCTGCTGTGCTGTCTTCTTTCACTTACTCAGACCTGTGCAAATGTTTTCCTTTTCAAGCCTCTAATCTATCGAGCATGGCCTTGACAATGGATGAAATTGATTCCGAAGTGGCCACAGAAGACAAACTTATCCCGATGGCTGCCTTGATTTCAACAGTTAATCTGAACTGCAGTGGAATGACTGTATGGTGTTATCAATACTGTTGATGGATGCGCTGGATGAACGGCCTTGTATATGTCATGACGAAGTGGGTACTGGCTTTGCTTTGGTCTGCTATTTGCTTTGTTTTCAGAATACACCTCGTCCCAAGATGGATTGGACGTTGGCTGGTGTAAGTGGAAGAATCGTTCTTGCTATTTTTACTTCGAAGCATGACTATCCTGTCGGACCTTTCCCAAGCTTCTTTGACGCTGCTCAATGGAGAATGATGGTGCAAGGGAATGTTGTAAAGCTTCGTGTTCGGGGCCAGAGGAGTGGCTGAAGACTACCACATGACGACATGACATGTAACACAACTCCGCTGAAGACGAGTGGCAATACTGGAACTTCCGCACATCCATGTGGCTAGACAAGGGACAGCCACCCTGCTGGCAAAATGGAACAGTGTAACTCTCCCCATAGCGAAGTTCAGTAGCCAAGTTGTAAACGTATTTACTTCAAGTAGTTACTTTCTCGAGTAGAATATCATACCTTTAGTTGTTATCAATAGTACAATTGTGCGGTGACCCTCTGTGCCTGACTGCAGGATGAAAACAATGCCTCCATCACTGCCACAGTGGACACCAAGCCCCTGACTGCGGAGGTATGGCATGCGACATCCCTGTCAACCGAGCGGTGAGTAAGAGTTGTATGCATATGGTAACTATGGTAACTAATTAGGCTACACAGTTTGCCTGTGCTGCTTCACTGGAGTGTGACTTGCACACTGTCTCTCTTCTCGTCACTGCATGGACAATGTGCGTTGATCCATGCAGCTACTTGTAGCACGCAAGTTGTTTCTCTCGCCGAAAATGAAGTAGCACTGTACGTTTGCATGGGCCTGTGCAGGAGCCTGACGCGGAGAAGGGGTGGTTGCCTGATCATCTTTAGCTTGAGGAATACATGAATTGTGTTGCACGTCTCCTTATATCTATCTAAACATGTGTGATGTATAAGCCCATTGCGCATTGCCAAATATGGAATGCATGAGTAATGCATGTGAGTATGCTGGGATCAGCCATGCACTGTTCAGTACCCCCAAATGACCATGAGGTGGCTGTGCGGGGAACACCCTACACGACCATACCCGGGTGGCTGTGTGGGGTGTTGGTGGTACGAACTACTTCATTGCGCAAAGGGCTTATCCTCGAAGCTGAAACTTCATCCGGCTACCAAGGTCCATTGATTAACGATCTCTTACATGACACGTGATCGTTGCCAGGGCCATGGTCAATAGGCGATCTTCCCGCCGCGGGCATAATCAGGCCACCAGGATTGTTTGACGTCATTTCGGGAGTTTCAGGACCGTTTGACGTCATTTCGGGAATGTCAGGACCGTTTGACGTCATTTCGGGAATAATTTTTCGACCTTTCGACCTTTGACCTTCCCTAATATGTTGCTTCGCGCTTTAAGAAATCAAATCAAGCACGCTCTGTCTGTCATGATGGCTGAATCTTGCCCTCCTGAGCTTTTGATTACATACGTATGACTCCCCTGGAAAACAGTCACGTTCTGAGCAGAGATCGGGCTTTCCTGTCGGTTGGCTAACTGTAAAGTTCAACCAACATTCTCATGTAATTCAGACAGCAGCCTTGACTCAATAAAGTGGCAGTCAAGTGGTTTGGCAAAATGAGCACCTAATTCCCCAGCAGCAGCACTCTGTTCAATAACACTACTGAAGTAGCTATAAATCTCAAACTTGACTGATAAAGTGGAATTAAGAATTATTTTGAATGATTAGTAGAACAAATTGGAAGCATTCCAATTCTTAGAGCAGTAATAATCATACATCTATACATTGTCCACACCAGTGTACATGTAGAAGAACAAATCGAAGATTTTTCGAACCAAGAATTGATGTACGTAAAACGTCACGCTAAAAGCGAGTTTTTTGAATGAACCCGAACCCGTGTAATTTTTTCAGTAAAAGATTTGCTGGAATTTTGTGATTTCTGAATGTGCAGGAGAGACTTTCGTCTGCTGATTGGCATACCTAACCCAAGTAGTCCTCTACCCCAGCCAGTACTCTGGTCTCACTATGACATCAAGCCTAATGTACGTGCAATGCGTGCAGGTCATCACTTGAAGTGTGCACACATGCACTTGTATTTGTACTGTCAGCGTGTTCGATAATATAATAAGATAGATCTGTGTGTATGTGTGTGTGTATGTGTGTCCCATATGGTGCATTTGTATGTGCAATTGATTTCCAATCGAGAGGTTGCGGGCTCAATTCCAGACGATTATGGTCGCACACGTCTTTCTTCTCTTTCTCATTCTCCTAGCTCTTCTGTCAACAACAATGCACCTATTTGATATTTGCATACACACACGCACACGCACACACACACTATTATAACCATGAGCAAAGGCAAGAAAAGGAATAGGGCTTGAAAGTGGAACGTCACGGCCAGCCCAGAATCATGGCAATGCTGACTTTTTGAATGTGCTTGGATCCAGTTTTTGAATGGACCCATGCATGTCTGGGTGGTTTCCTTCACAGTGGGCTCACTCATCAGCCAGTAGTAACTAGGCTGGGCATTCTCGGTCAGGAACTCACTCCTGGTACAGAATATATTCGCCAATGCTTGCAACATGAGAGGCCTACGCATCATATACTGAACAGTTTGCTACGGGGAGAGTGGATCCGGCAGTCGCAACTGTATTAGTTGTAACTTGGCGTTTATTGACTTTTTGACTTTCAAGCCCTATCGAATAGAATGAATGCTACACGTTGTAGCATGCCACAGCCCTAGTTGTATTAGTAGTAGTAGTTCACCTTCGGCGGAGCAAAACGGCAAATTTGATTTCTTCTTCTGCTTCTGCTTCTCTTCAGGCAAATGGCGAGTATGTGGCAACGATGGAAGCACCGAAAGGCGGTCAATGGACGGCGTTCTTTATCCAGGTTGGTTTGCACACATAGTCACCAGTATCCACCTCACAGGTCACATATCATACAGTTGCGCTCACTGAAATCCGACCCGAAGGGCAAAGCTGGCGCCCTCAACTGGCACGGCCCTTGACGCCCTGGAAGTGGCATGAATGCAGCTGGACGTACACATGTACAACTACAATGATGTAATCGGAACTAGTCCAGCGCACCAGCTTTGCACTTTGGGTCGGATTTCAGCGAGAGCAACTGTATGACATATAGGCAGCTACTCTGCATGCCAGCACGGTGGGGAGACTCCCTTGATTTAGGCTTTAAGTCCTGTGCCGGTGAAATACAAATACGGGTTAAAGGGGAAGTCCACCGAATAGAAACACTTTAATAATTTATAGAAAAGAAAAAGGACCAAGGAACGACAAGTTACGCTATAATGCCCACTAACACCACCAGTTACTTGACTATCAGCTCATGCAATAACATTGCACAAAACTGCAGTTCGTAGCTCCTTAGTCCTTTCTTTACTATAAATTAATCATTGGCTCTCCATCCGAGTCTATCCTTTGGAAACACATTAAATACCAGTGTTTTTGTCCTTTGTGAACCTATCAGCAAAGAACAGGGAAGATGAGGCCAAACCTGATAGCAGGGGAAATTTATTTTTACAAGCAGATTTTAACCCGGCCCGAATCTACCTTGCCAGAGTGTTCAAACTGACAGGTCAGTGAGCTCTGTGTGACGCAAACAGCAAAATCACTAACCCACGCGAGAGTGATCAACTACATGTGCTACATGAGCAGGAGGGTACTACTACTACTACTACTGCTACTACTACTAATAATAATCTGTGACAGATCGCGTACAATATGCATTGACACTATGAGTATAACATTACTATGCAACACATGGTTCCGCTGCTGTTCCTTGGCTAGGGATCGTCCGCGCCCGCACGCACGCTATGCCGCGTGAGTAAAGCCTCTCCAAGCTGCTTGATCCTGGGCCATCCCGGGCCTTTCTGGGCCATCCCGGGCCGTTCTGGGCCATCCCGGGCCGTTCTGGGCCGTTCTGGGCCATCCCGGGCCGTTCTGGGCCGTCATGGAGGGTACTAGTAACTGTATAACGTAAACAAAACTCACGGGGGAATTCTGCTGAAACGAGAGAGCTTGGAAGCTCAGGGTCCTACGCTATGCTTTTTTGCCTTGATGACCTAGACAAAAAAAGCATAGGGATGTTATAAATTCTTTAAAAAATTCCTTTTTTTAGACATAACCTGGGATTCGAACCCGCACTATCGCGCGCCCTGCATGCATCCCCCGATACACTTTGCATACATACTAATTCTTCCAAGTTGCTTCACGTTATGATCTTGCATTTGAAAGCCCTATTTGAATATGCATTGTGGCCAGCCGTCTTTGATGGTACGGTACGGTACGGGATAGGTACGGGACAGGTACGATCGAGGGTAATACGACACCGTCTACTGCCTTGATGACGGCAAAAAAAGCATAGGAATGTTATAAGTTTTTCAATTATTCTCCTATTTTTTTTTCAGGCATATCCTGGGATTCGAACCCGCATTATCGCCCTACGTAGCTACATGCATTCCCCCATACACTTCCCATTCATACCCATTCTTCCAAGTTGCTTCACGTTATGATCTTGCGTTTGAAAGCCCTATTTGAATATTGCGGCCAGCTGTATGTGGCCAGCTGTGTTTGATGGTACGGTACGGTACGGGACAGATACGGGATAGCGCCAGGCGTGACACAAACAAACAAACACACAAATACCAAACGAGAGAGCTTGGAAGCTCAGGGCCCTACGCTATGCTTTTATGCTTTTTTGCCTAGCTCATCGTACATGTTATAAGAACTGAGGCAAAAGTATTTGCAGAATTTATTGCGGATTGTTATTTCTCTAATAATCATCTTCTTTTGGTTTGCTCCTTCTTTTCTTTTTAGCTCCTTATACTGTAAATCAACAAATTTTGGCTGATGAGAAATAGAAACCTCTCTATTAAAGAGGTTAAGATGCACGTTATTTCCGACGTGACGCGCAATTTCACGTCAAATTTGAAATCGATAGGTATTTTTGCTCTCACATACATCCATTGCTCAATAATGCATCAATTTCCTTTATGACAAACTTTGGCCTGTGATTTACTTTGGCCGGTTGGTACCAAGCGGCGAAATCAGCGAAATTAAATCGCCAGCGAAAATTAGTTGATTTTAATACAGTAATCGGATTTTCTGGCCTTTTTGTAGTAATACATGTACATTGACCTGTTGAGCCAATGACGACGCCGAATGCATGGTTGCCTGTGGAGCACATTACATAACTTAGCAGTCTCTTTAAATACGTATCCTGTCCGACGGCAAAAGAGTCTGCAGATTTAGTTTTTCTGCGCGTCGACGGGATGTCTGCTACGCGAAAGTTCAGCTCGCGTTATTTGGCTCGCACGTCGAAAAATCAACGCGAGTGACCTGCTGCTCACGTGGAAATTTGGACATTACATAACTTTACAGTCTCCTATAATACGTATCCTGTCCGACGGCAAAAGAGGCTGCAGATTTCGTTTTTCTGCGCGTCGACGGGATGTCTGTCCTGACGTTCACTGGTACCGGCGCTGACTCTGCCGATCACGGGCGTTCTGGACTCGACAGGATGTCTGTCCTGACATTTCCTGGGACCGGCTTAGACTCTGCCGATCACGGGCGTTCTGGACTCAACGGGATGTCTGTCCTGACGTCGCCTGGGACCGGCGGACTCTGCCGATCACGGGCGTTCTGGAGTCGACGGGATCTCTCTTCCGACGTTTCCTGTGACCGGCGCTGAATCGCTCGTTCACGCTTATTTTGGAGACGACGCGATCTCTCTTCCAAAGTACATGTATGTTTATGCTGACGCTGTTTATGCTGACGCATCCTATCACCTATTCGGCGTCTATTCTAATTTAATTTCCTCCTCGTCTCCCTATTTCATTCCAAATCTCCCTCTACATCAGGGAGTCGTATACATAATACGACGAATATTGGTACGGTACGGGACAGATACAGGAGCCCGCAAATATTGTGGACAGCTGTTATGTACAATCCTGTAGAGCCTTTGTAGTCACAGATACGGGACAGATACGGGACAGATACGGGATAGCGCCAGGCGTGACACAAACAAACAAACAAACACACAAACAAACAAATACCAAATTAAAGCTGTGTGGACCCTGGCTAGCGCCAGACGTTACTGAAGGAACGTCTTCTGCATAGCTACGGGAATTAAAGCTGTGTGGACCCTGGCTAGCGCCAGACGTTACTGAAGTAACGTCTTCTGCATAGCTACGGGAATAACACACACATGTCCCGGTGTGTCGTCACATATCCCGGTGTGTCGTCACATGTCCCGGTGTGTCGTCACATGTCCCGGTGTGTTGTCACATGTCCCGGTGTGTTGTCTTTTTGTTGAAACTCTTGTTGATCTACTCTTGCTACTACTTGCACAACTGTTTCCGTCAGCATTACATCCATACTTTTTACTTCTGAATATTTTCTGTGAGTCTGTGAAATGAGTTGTGACTTTTGCAGTGCCCAGGGAAAGAGCATGTGTGCTCGCCACTTCTCTTTGAGTTATGAATATAGCTGCTCAAAAAGTGGAATTCTGCTGGAGCCTGCACCCACCCACTCTCTTTTTGCCTGAGAGTTGATGTTTGCTTTGAGCATTTAATATCGCGACCCCTTTCTAACTCTGTCATAGTGTGTGTGGTGGATATTGGGATACAAAGTGAGCAGGTTTTTTCATTGGAGATGTCACTTCTCTGTTCCTTTCTTGTTTCAGTTCACTTTCCCGGGACCAAAGGAGTCGGTTTTTGAGTTCTCTACGCAGGCACAGATAGTTCCCACAACGTTCCCGTACGCGGAGTGCCATGGGGAAAGCTGTGCAGGACATCTTGTGTGAAGTACAGGAGCTCAAGAAGAGGCGAAGAAAATGACCAGCATAATATTATTCTCTAAATTTGCTTTTCATTGTATTCGTTTTCTTGGCAGCGCCGAGATTGTGTAACATGACTAAGTTCTTTTTCATTCACTTTCACATCTTATACCTTGTCCATATGCATATTGAAACAGTACAGAACCAAGTTATCTGGGTGCCCAATTCAGTTGCAAGCTGGAGGTTTTCGCTAAGCTACAATGGCCTATAGTTTGCTGTGGCAGAAACCTTTTACGATGGCAACTTACCCCAAATTGATAAATGATCTACGACAAAGTAAGAGTCTAGACTGCTTGTTCGTTCTCCACTACTGCGCTTCCCGCTTGGCCGCTGGATTGTATAAATTAACTGCAGGAGCGCTGCACTAACACACATACCATCGAGTGTAGGGCGTGTTTGGACTGGAAAAACTAAAGGGCAATTAATAACAGTTGTGGGTAGGTTAAGTGTAAGGAGTACGCGCATGGGTATGTGGGTTGTTGTTGTTTCTCACCTGCCCACCCCTGTTATTAGTTCACACTTCTCTAGTCTTTCACACTAAAGCCTAAAGTAAAGGGGAATTCTCAGAAGTTTTTTTTGCGATGCGATGTGTGCCGAAATCTGCAGAGTGCCACTGTACATGTGGGATGCGAATTCGCGAAATACCATTCACAGGAAGAAAAAAAAAGGGAAGAAGTCAGCAACACGATCACGACGACACCTTCAAGGCTTGCATGCTGATGTCCCTCAAACACAGTCAAAGATCAACGCAAGGACGTGCGTCACCATGGCATTCCTGTAGCAAGGTACAAATATTAATTGTACCAATCTAAAAGTACAAGCAAGAGTACATAACCCTGTACCCTGTACCCTGTATGTACTCTTGCTACAAGCAACACTTGAACATTTTATGTGACTTTGCTGCACAGAATGTCTAAATCGTACATCGCATGGCACGTCGCATAGCGAAAGTTCCGCCAAGCTCAACTTCTGCAATGAGTTGTTTAAAAAGAACCTCTTTTTTGGGCAACGTGCACAACGCAGTCAGAGCCAGGCTCCTCTCCCTCGTCGCTTTTGCCTCCCTAACCGAAGTCACGTGCCCAATACCAGATGAGATTCCTGGGTAGGCCTTGGCAGATACATGTACTTCGAAGTACTAGTATTCATGGCTCGAAATACTGACAGATCAGTCTGCTCGAAAAGAATTGAAACTGACAGAGGGATTTAACGTGCAGGCATTTCCTCGAATTCTGCTCCTTTTCATAATCCATACCCCAAACATGCATGAAATATACCAGAAAAGTACTGTGCTTCAAGTTTCTTCAGGCATGATCGGCAAAGGCCTACTCGTAGCGACACTGACTCACGCTGCTATCTGGTGCCTCATGAGGCGTTGGTCGCGATGGAAACAGAGCGTCTCGGTAAATTTGTATCCCTGGTGAAGGTTTGGTCTGGAGAGCACTATATAAGTGGTGTTCTTCAGACACAATCTTCCTCAGCCTACTCAAGCTCATCTGATGAGGGGTGTATTCACCGAAACACTGTGTATTGAGCAGGGAGCGGTGCATTCTTGCAGGTTTGCGGAGTGTAAGGTTCGAGGGACTTCTCGTGTGCTCCGGATGGCAGCCGTGAGTTAGTCAAGTGAGATTTCAAGTCGTCAGGTAAAAGCGTGCAAGCTCCCACGTAGGGAGGAACACACAATTTGGCCTACTCGTGGTGGAAAATGTTCTCTATTCAAACTGGGAATTGAACCCCTAATAGACACATATTTTGGAAGGCCAACTGAAAACCCATTACCCGATCCCCTCTGCCCCCCCCCCCCCTCCAGCCCGGACCTTTCATGAACCCAACCTATCTCAACTCCATGTCCGGGCCTGGAGTAATCTTGCAAGACGTCAGCGATCGTTATCCTCAATCACCGTGCATAAGCTAAAGGCACTCTCCGGAGTAACGCTAGCTGGCAAATAAAAATTAATGATACTTCTTTCAGTCAAGGTCCAGCTTCCAAAGGAGAAAAAAGGGTTATATTATTAAACTCATAAAGGGAAATAGTTTGGTTGAATTATTTATCTTGGTTGCAAAAATCAGAAGTATTAATCCACAAAGGACAAAACAGCACGTTCTGCAGATTGAGTATATAAACCACATGTTCACAAAACAACAAGGGGGCAGGCTAGTTTGAAGATGCAGTGTACGCTGAGAGTTGTCACGAGGCAACATTGCATATTCAAAAGCTTGGGGGAATTCAGGAGTTTAAGGGAATTCAGACGGGAAGAAATCGCAAGCCTCAGAATTATGTACAAGCCATACCATGCTGTGCAAGAGTCTCTCATCTAGCAGAATACGGCATAGACGGCAAGCAGCAGTGGACAGAGGCCAGCGGACAAGGCAAACCTTGTTGCGGAGCCTCCGGGCAGGGTTGTGCCCACTTGTGGAGGCCTGGAACCCGGCGGGAATCGTTCCAAACCTTCGTTGGATGGACACGAGACGCTTATTTCAGCTGACGTGTTGAACGTCCGTTGCGGTAGCGGTTCGTCGAGGATATCCTGTCCATGGAAGTACCTGCACACGTAAATGGCTGTGTAAAGCGCGGTCTCCTTTGTCTTGAATGCTTGTTTCAATGTTCGGTAAGCAATGGGATGACGTGTCTTCACGCAAGGATTATTGTAGACTTGGAAGAGGGTTTTAATGGCCTCCAAGCAGTGGGGATTGCAGCTTGTTGTATTGCAGTATTTTTCAGCCTGCGACAACAGGGAGGTGACGTTGTCAAGGTATACAGACAACGAACACTTGTTACCACAGACTACAGAGTTCTCCAGGCAGATATCGTAACTGTCATACTGCATACACCTGAAGTCACCTCCCTTGGGATAGTACTGTAGGAAGCCGAAGCACATCTCGTCATTGGTCGCATCGCCATACCGTGTGGTGAAATTGCGAGAGCTAGCGTCATAAGTACAGTTGATGGACAAGCTATCGCCAGGAGTGATAACTACCGGTGGGTCGTGGAATGTCCAGGTAGGACTATCGTAATCGTAGACATCTTGCGAGAGAATATCCGTGGTAACATTTGTAGCCTCAACGGTGTGGGAGATCTTTGTTGCTTTCCCGATCAGATGCATATGAGACGTAGATGCAGCTACAGTCACAGGCTGAAGGAGAATATTTTGGGTGCACTTACCACTGCATTCGCCAATGTAGGTCTTCTGGGCTCCTCCTGGAATTTCCAATTTAGACTGTCCCAGCCACATGATACCCATGTCATACTTGCGCAGTGTCGACGTGTAGTGCAAACGAAGTCCTGAAGAATCTGTGTAGTCAGTGCGATGAAGAGGGTTGTTCCAGTGAGCTTGCAGCTGGAACATTCTGTAGGTTCCTTTGCCAAATCGAACACCAGCAATGTCAGGCAGACACTGGCCCGGAAAACCGAGCGACCAAATAGCCAAAAGATCCCTGCAGCCTGAACCAGACATATCACATTCACCAGGTTTCGTGACTGTGGGTGACTGGCAGCCATATAGAAGCATATGATGAATGACGTTCAAGTTGTCCAAAATGGCATCAAAGCCAACAGCATGGTACACTTGGTCATCGGGTACAGTGAACGCAGTGCAGAAGTACGTTGTAGTCTGCGAAGGTACTTTGGTATTCTTTGCCATGGTCAAGTCCAATGTTTTTACACCTACCTTATCTTTACCAGGGCATACTGGGTTTAGCGGACTGCAACTCAATGTCGTCTTGTCTGTTGGGTCGAATTTGAAGCTTCCTGCTGGCGTCTTGAAGCCTGGATGAGTTAGTCCTGTAGTTCGGGATGGTACAGCTCCCTTCGTCCATACACAGTTCGGGTCACCAAGCTCTGCACCGTTCGTTTGTCCGTCTCCATCTGAGTCCATCTGGCAAAGTGCCCTTGTCCACTTCTTTCCAGCCTGGTCGAAAGCCTCTCCAAAGACATTCCTTGGTCCGCCGCCTTGTTCTTGCAGATGTCCAACACCCATCCACTGAGTATTGGGTTTACAGGGATGCTCTACATTGTCGCCGTTTGGGATTTCCAGTTGGAAGTGTTTGAATCCACTACGAGGGAAAAGCAACGCTATGTAAGCAAAAGCGAGAAAAACGGTGAACCCCATGGCGAATTGCTTGCCTTACAGAACCTAGCTTTTGCTGATGATTCCTAGACTGGTATGCCTTTTTGCGATATTTATCATAATACGGAAATATTACGACAAATAGATCCCCGTGCACCGGACATAACATCCAAGTCATGTGCATGTCGGGAGAGCGCTGCAACGATCCTTCTTCGCTGCTGAAAGAAAATATTAGAATTTTGGGAATCAGCTGGCTGCTGCTCCGGTAGCTACTTCGAATTATTTGGATGCGAACGGTACGTAGCAGCAGCGATGCTTACACGTTTGAAGACATCCTGCCAGAGCATGCAACGAGTTTCGTGTTCGAAATGTTGTGCAGAAGGACATCATTTCGACAGCGTACAACCACGTCCGGCTGCTGCCCCCTGCTGCTGGTAAAAACCGATACATTGCTCTTCTTTGCATTTAATACAAGTGTGGATTCAGGACATCCTGCCAGAGCATGCAACATGTTCGAAATGTTTCAAAGGCAAATGGTTTACTCTGCACAATCATGTCAATTATATAGATGTAGATGGAGTAACGCTTCACCTCTCAGCACCAAGAAAGTGGAAAGAGTGTTCAACTTTTAACCACCATTAAGTGTCGTCAATACCAATAGGGGTCGGTGAATTCTACCGCCAGAGTTTCGAGCAGAATAAAGGGTTTCTGGAGACGGAGCAGGATTAGGCAGTGAAGGGCTTTGCTGGAGCGGAAATGCAGGATTTCACTTACCACTGTACAATTGCACAGAGGCAGTGCGTCTTAACCTGCAATAGGGCTCAAATGGCCGGAATGGGCAGAGCGTAGCACGCAAGAGGTACACAAAAGGCAGTAAAATAGAGCTGTTTCGTTGTTGTTGTTGTTGTCACTGTACAATCACATGTACATGTATATTGTAAGGTGTTCATGCACACGCACCACGTAACCGGTTCATTCGCACCTTCGCACAGCACTGGTCTTGCAAACAGCGCCCGGTATTATTTAAAAATATTATACAGTGTCGATGTCTACTACATACATGTACATGTACTAATCGTCCACAGACACAGAACAAGAAGAAGTCACCATGGGCACAGTACCGCCAAGACGCCCATAGATCCCTACCCGTAGTGTAACCCCCTGCCCCCCCCCCCCCCCCCCCGCCCCCTTCACTTACTGTCTCTGCAAGTGCTTCAATACACGTACGTGTACATGTACATGTATGTAGTCATGGACATGCAGTCCGTAGGGTCCAGCGGATAATGCTGGCATTATATTTGGCATTATGAGACTATCCGAGCATCAGAGCATTATGAAGCACTAGAAAGGAACAAGACGAGCATTATGTGAGGTTTGAGCAGCATAACGAGTTTCATAGTGGATAATGTCGGGAAATCTCAGGTTTTTGGCAACAATCGGCTAAAGCCATTAGCCTGCAGCGCCATGTATTGTACCGGCACATGACTGTGTAGACCATGGTAGACACGTAACACCTTTAGCACTAATGCTACATTTACCTGACCACATAATGCCATTGCTACATAAAGTCTTTTAAAATGTAGCAATTATGTAGTCAGGTAAATGTACATGAGATGTAGCATGCCCAAAGTTGCAACTGAGGCTGTTACACAAAATCCGTAACGATGATTTACGAGGAGTCTTTTTTAGAAGTCATGGAGAGCCATGCATGGAGGAGACTAGACGTACGCGAAGTGAATATCAAACAGACGAAGAGGAGTTTTACTGCTAATAAAAAAGTGTTATGCCATAGGCTCTGGCCATAGCATCTCTTGGGATACTGAATTGAACACTGATCCATTGATAAATTTGGACCTGGATGAAGGAGCGGCTATAAACAGAAAGAGCTTGTTCCAAAAAACTGCCTTTTCCGAGACCAGCTCAGCATGCTCGAAAAGAACTAGAATTTCTCATGGACACAGTACCAAGTCGATTTGAGTGCTCAGCAGCTCATGTCTTACTTTCCCGGTGAAGCACGTACAGTTCGTCGTGGACGATTGTAATACAGTCAAGTGCTATCAGAAAAGAAGAGAATTGTGGCCAACCATTTGTCTCCACGCAACCTCAGGAGAAGAAGACAGCGCAAGCAGAGGATGTATGTATGTATGTATGTATAACTCATAATCACAAGGTGATCGTAGAGGCATTAATCAGCGAGAGAATTGTGAATGATGTCTCTGAATCCAACTCTATCGTGAGCTGCATGAGAGAGAGCATGCAAGGGAAGACCCGTCCAACTTTTAATGTTAGAAATCCATGATGTCGCGGGCCCTCCTCTCGGTCGAGATCCAGGAGTTGATCCTTGCAGGAAGGGCTTGGAGAAAACGTCATGTCTCGTAACATGGCCAAACCACATCAACTTAAATTTCTTGACTTCGTTCGCTAGCCGCATCCTTGCTCCGATGATGTCATTGATTTCTTCCAGGATAGATTGGTTGTAGAGCGGCAAAATAACTTCTGACAACGTGTGTTCAGGATTTCTGCAAATGGGAGGGATCTCGATCTGAGATCGCCTCTCAGGAACTGGCCTCACGTGAGCTGTTTCAGATGCAGACATTTTTCACAGAGTGGAAGCAGTGACAGCTTGTCTGCAGGCAGGAATATCACTTCCCATGATAAGCTTCCAGCACCCAAATGATCACCAGCAATAAAGGTTTCATCTCTCACTACATGGATAAGCAAGGGAAAAGATTTGATACACCCATTATTCAGCCACAGCCCTGCATCAAAGTTGCAATGGAGAGCAGCCAATGGAGACCCGATCATGTCTTATAGTGCTAAGAAGTGGTGGAGGTCGTGAGAGATATTGTGCCTGCTTCAGAGGCAGATCGACTGTATGCATCCTTTCCTGGAAGTTTGACAATGTGCAGCCTTTCTTCCATTTTTGTTCCAAACCAAGACCATTATAGCCCTTGTTGAAGCATTATATTCAGCATTATGAGGTAGGTTTGGAGCATTATGACAAGCATTATACGAACATTTTCGGAGCATTATCCGCTGGACCCTAGCAGTCCGTCGTGATCTACATAATATTATGTACATGTATGGTATGGCGTATGCCTGATACAACGCTGACGCCCTCACTCAGTTTGAAGAATCTATAGTGCAATTATAATAATTATTACTCTAGTTAGTGTGACCTCTACGCTCTCGGCATAGGCGGCGTTGCTCTGCAGTGGATGGCCCACTACTTGACCGATCGTCAACAGTACGTCCAGATTGGCCCAAGCAAAAGTGCTGCTTACGCAAGTAGCTGTGGTGTTCCGCAAGGATCCTTGCTGGAGCCATTGCTCTTCGTTGTGTATGTTTGAGATATACCTCATGTGGTGAGGCCATACGGTGCTACCCCAACACAGTTTGCAGATGACATCTCCTTACGAGCCAGTGCCTAGACACCGGCAACTGTTGCTCAGCGACTGTCCGGTGCAGTACAACACCTGTCTGACTGGCTACGACAGCGTGGCTTAATTCTGAATGAAACAAAAACACAAATCCTACCAATCCCTCCTCATAGAGCACCACCCTTTACCCTACGCGTGACATGCAATAGTCAAGTTCTGCCGGTGGTACCATCGGCCAAGTATCTAGGCTTACATTGGGACACGTCAATGTGCTGGCACACAATGGTTCAACGTGTTGCTATCAGGGTTTCTGCTAAAATAGCTGTCTTAGTCCGCCATGCTGCATCTTTACCCCTCTCATGTCGTATCTGCTACTTCAAATGCTTTGTGCTGCCTGAGTTTCTGTATATGCATCCAATGCTTATGCCCCATATCTATCTGTTCACCAGGAGCTCCGTCTGGAAAGGCGCTTCAAGCGCGCACTGCGTGCTGTATGTAAAGGCCCCCCATGGACCCCCACTGTTACGCTACTTGAGCGCGTACATGATGTGTGTGTGTGTGTGTGTGTGTGTGTGTGTGTGTGTGTGTGTGTGTGTGTGTGTGTGTGTGTGTGTGTGTGTGTGCTACCAGCGCTGGTTCCGCAGTGCGGGAGGTTTGGTGGTCCACAAGTGCCCCATCTCCCAGACGCTCCCCACGACATCATCTCAAGCTCCATGCCGAACAGCAATGTCCGCCATTGCTGCTCAGCTGACAACTCTGCAACCCCGATTCCGGCTCGCTCTCTTGTGTCGCAAGGCCCACTGAATCCTCCACCTTTTCGAGCATTATCCGCCAAGGCCTAGGCTGAAATAGCTCATAGAAAGAAGTCGTGATAAATCTATCACTGACATCGAAATGGGTCACTATAGTGAAATTTCCTGTATAGACCTCTTTCTCAGTCAAAAGTAGATATGTACATGTACGTGTGATGCAAAAGAGAAATGTTGGGCAACACAGATGCATGTATTATGGCTAAATCTATCCCAGCCATCATTCAAAGGCTTGTAAAAGTGCAGAAAAGGACTTCATGATTCTTCACTTCACTGGCACTCGCGAAGTCCCCACCCCCTACAACTGAAAACCCATTCCCTGTTCCCCTCTGCCCCGCCCCCCCCCCCCTCCAGCCCCAGAACTTGAATCTCAACCCCATGTCCAGGCCTGAAATAATCTTGCAAGACGTCAGTGATCGTTATCTTCAATCACCGTGCATAAGCTCAAGGCACTCTCCGGAGTAACGCTAGCTGGCAAATAAAAATTAATGATACTTCTTTCAGCCAAGGTCCAGCTTCCAAAGGAGAAAAAGGGTTATATTATTAAACTCATAAAGGGAAATAGTTTGGTTGAATTCATCTTGGTTGCAAAAATCAGAATTTTAATCCCATAATCCACAAAGGACAAAACAGCACGTTCTGCAGATTGAGTATATAAACCACATGTTCACAAAACAACAAGGGGCAGGCTAGTTTGAAGATGCAGTGTACGCTGAGAGTTATCACGAGGCAACATTGCATATTTCAAAAGCTTGGGGGAATTCAGGAGTTTAAGGGAATTCAGACGGGAATAAATCGCAAGCCTCAGAATTATGTACAAGCCAAACCATGCTGTGCAAGAGTCTCTCATCTAGCAGAATACGGCATAGACGGCAAGCAGCAGTGGACAGAGACCAGCGGACAAGGCAAACCTTGTTGCGGAGCCTCCGGGCAGGGTTGTGCCCACTTGTGGAGGCCTGGAACCCGGCGGGAATCGTTCCAAACCTTCGTTGGATGGACACGAGACGCTTATTTCAGCTGACGTGTTGAACGTCCGTTGCGGTAGCGGTTCGTCGAGGATATCCTGTCCATGGAAGTACCTGCACACGTAAATGGCTGTGTAGAGCTCGGTCTCCTTTGTCTTGAATGCTTGTTTCAATGTTCGGTAAGCAATGGGATGACGTGTCTTCACGCAAGGATTATTGTAGACTTGGAAGAGGGTTTTAATGGCCTCCAAGCAGTGGGGATTGCAGCTTGTTGTATTGCAGTATTTTTCAGCCTGCGACAACAGGGAGGTGACGTTGTCCAGGTAGACAGACAACGAACACTTGTTACCACAGACTACAGAGTTCTCCAGGCAGATATCGTGACTGTCATACTGCATACACCTGAAGTCACCTCCCTTGGGATAGTACTGTAGGAAGCCGAAGCACATCTCGTCATTGGTCGCATCGCCATACCGTGTGGTGAAATTGCGAGAGCTAGCGTCGTATGTACAGTTGATGGACAAGCTATCGCCAGGAGTGATAACTACCGGTGGGTCGTGGAATGTCCAGGTAGGACTATCGTAATCGTAGACATCTTGCGAGAGAATATCCGTGGTAACATTTGTAGTCCCAACGGTGTGGGAGATCTTTGTTGCTTTCCCGATCAGATGCATATGAGACGTAGATGCAGCTACAGTCACAGGCTGAAGGAGAATATTTTGGGTGCACTTACCACTGCATTCGCCAATGTAGGTCTTCTGGGCTCCTCCTGGAATTTCCAAGTTAGACTGTCCCAGCCACATGATACCCATGTCATACTTGCGCAGTGTCGACGTGTAGTGCATACGAAGTCCTGAAGAATCGGTGTAGTCAGTGCGATGAAGAGGGTTGTTCCAGTGAACTTGCAGCTGGAACGTCCTATAGGTTCCTTTGCCAAATCGAACACCAGCAATGTCAGGCAGACACGTGTCAAGAAAACCGAGCGACCAAATAGCCAAAAGATCCCTGCAGCCTGAACCAGACATATCACATTCACCAGGTTTCGTGACTGTGGATGACTGGCAGCCATATAGAAGCATATGATGAATGACGTTCAAGTTGTCTAAAATGGCATCAAAGCCAACAGCATGGTACACTTGGTCATCGGGTACAGTGAACGCAGTGCAGAAGTACGTTGTAGTCTGCGAAGGTACTTTGGTATTCTTTGCCATGGTCAAGTCCAATGTTTTTACACCTACCTCGTTCTTGCCAGGGCATGATGGGTTTAGCCCGCTGCAACTCAACGTCGTCTTGTCTGTTGGATCGTATTTGAAGCTTCCCGCAGGCGTCTTGAAGCCTGGATGAGTTAGTGCTGTAGTTCGGAATGGCGTAGCTCCCTTCGTCCATACACAATTTGGGTCACCAAGCTCTGCACCGTTCGTTTGTCCGTCTCCATCTGAGTCCATCTGGCAAAGTGCCTTGGTCCACTTCTTCCCAGCCTGGTCGAAAGCCTCTCCAAAGACATTCCTTGGTCCACCGCCTTGTTCTTGCAGATGTCCAACACCCATCCACTGAGTATTGGGTTTACAGGGATGCTCTACATTGTCGCCGTTTGGAATTTCCAGTTGGAAGTGTTTGAAACCATTGCATGCGCAAATGAACGTGGTGGTAGCCACGATAAGCAGAAGGGTGGACGCCATGGCGAATTGAACTACTGAGGCGTTGTGAGACCTTTTTTTGCACAATTTATACTACTTACTAGTAGTGGTTAGTGTGCTATGCCGCTGCAGAGTGCAGCACACACACCCATTTCCACTATGACTTGTGCCCTGCGTTCTCCGGACAGCGTTCAACACTAGGACTGTACTGCGAGTGAACGAGAGCGACTAAAGTCAGTAAAGAGTAAAGGTGACAAGCGTGACAGAATCCCGTCATCGCATCGACCTGGTTGACTGCAGGCTGCGCCCTGCAGCTGCGCGGGTGTGGCGCAACTCTAGCACTAGGACCAGTAGGAGTAGTAGCAACTAGCATGCTGTCAGTAATATGGCACATTAGTGTATGGCACGTACAATGTATGGCATAGCAAGAGGAGGATCCCGAGGTATATTAGCCAGGGTCTGAACCGTGAACGTGACGGAGGACTGACAGTAATGATGGTGCACATTCTCGCGCTGAACTCGTCGCAACCACAGAGCCAGAGTCCATGGAACCGAACAGTGCGACCAACCCATCCAGCCACATCTGCCAGTTCATCTGCCAGTTGCGTTTACCAGCACCAGTTGATCCCCAGTTGATCCCCAGTACCAGTGCGGTTGGTGGACTAGTAGTAGTAGTAGTAGTAGTAGTAGTAGTAGTAGTAGTAGTACAGTCAGTGCACGCGTGTTGATACATGTACATTTTGTAGTTGATAGTCCCCATGGGCCCTGGCATGGCTGAGCGAGTAATAACATGATTACTATGTTGATGGCACATGGGATGAGATCATTATCATGACGTCATGACGTCATGCTATGGTCTACAGCTGCACGTTCTTCTACTGTGCACATGTGGCGCATTCCGTACCAGCGTGGAAGCTCGTCTCCTCTTGTTCAACTACGCGGTGGTCTTGCCATTCAATTTTTTTAATACAAATAAAAACACACAAACGTCTACGCGTTGTGTGATGGAATATCTAGTAGATGTAGTAGATGTAGTAGATGTAGTAGCTCAGAATGATAGAACATGTACTCCCGATCACTTTTTTTTTTTTTTTTTTTGCGGAGTAGCCGTGTCTAGCATTTATATTCCACACTTTTATTATCCGATGATCTTGTTTTGTTTGCTATGATTCCGTGAAAAAAAGTCACTGGCGGGTACGAATGGGCATGTGCGCGCCACGGGCCCACGGCTCAAGTTCGTGCAGAGACCGTGTACAATTTCCTGGAGGAAACACCGGTGTCACGTTTGAGCCTAGCCTAGCCTGTGAATACGTCTCTTGCATTGTCTATTCTGGTTCATGGTGGTCGGGTTTTTCACCACAAAATCATACTTTCCGCACGTGTTGGAACTGATGTTAATGTGTCACTGTCTGGGAATGCGTTCTCAGATCATTAGACAGTACAATTATGTAGTTCTGCGGATCACTTCCCTGTACATGACTTTGCAGTTCTCCATACATGTACATGTACATGCACTGCACATGTACATGCGTATTTACATGGAATTACCTGTCTGACGTAGCACTATACTGGCTGGTAGAAATACATGGTGCCAGGCTGTGCAGGGTCATGGGTCATTCATGTGCAACAACTAGGCACAACACTGACCGAGTACTGAGACATTCGACGACCTGACACCTAGCTTCAACACATCTCCGAAGCGCTCAGCCAACAGCCTTCCAACTCGGAAGCTTCTAAGCTGCTTCTTCTAGGAAAGAGACCAAAGAGGGGAAGGTCTGTACCTAGTTGTTGCACTTTCTGACTGTACATGTACATGTATATACAGTGTACTATCTCGTTACAGTGGCGGACAGTTACATGTACTCTTAACTCGTAACCATTTGTTCCTTTCCTTCTTTCTTCCTATTATTGGCTCAACACCCGAGTTTAATAAAACCTACATGAATCGGATTTACATGCACATGTACAAAATGTACATGTGCATGTACATGTAGGTGTTTTCCTTGGCTTAAGTTAGGAACACACTGTTGACTCTAGAGACTAGACTCCTGTTTTCATGCCCATTGTGTAACCACAGCACTGCCTTCCGCCACTGACACTAGTCTCGCACGCTTAATTAATTTGCAACAGCAGTGTGCCAAGCAGTAGCATGCGCCAGAGCTGTGTCGCCAGGCCTTTGTCGCTCACTGGGAGGGCCCGATCTCTATGTAAGGTGGCCGCCTCGCTGGCCTTAGTACAATGTACACTACCCCGCAGATGACACCGTGATCCACGTGCGCAACAATAATAATAATTATTATATGAGAAAATAGCGAGGACAGATACTTCTGCAACAAGAAATCCGGGTAACCCTTCTTCATGAACACAGAACGGAGAAAGTCAAGTTCCTCCTGCAGCACCCCCCCTCCCCCTCTGCACATCTTGCTGTAGTGCAGTGGCAGTTATTGTTGCAGAAGTACACGTACATGTACATTGTACAATCTTGTATCTGTCCATTGAACACACTCAAAACCTCCATTGATGGGTCCAGCTGGTTGTCCAGTCTACCTATTACAGTATTTAATAGTCCGGGAGCCGAAATCTGTAGGATGCTTTTTTTTTTTTTTCAGAGTATGCCATTAATCAGAGGGCGGACTTGAAACTTCGCACCGAGATAGGCAAGTGTCTCTAGAGCACGATTTGAGAACTTGGCCGTCCCGAAGCTGTGCACTACCATGTACCAACGCTGGTGCGAGGAGATTTGTTCGCCCGTCGAACACTACATGTATTTCGTTGACGGGATTTCGCAGTTTTTGCGCCGTTCAGCGCTTGAAAATGGGGAAAACATCAGCAGGTTTCGCTGGCGTAACCAGACGTTTTCATGCGAATGACTCAATTTTGCTAGATTTTCAAGAGAAACACAAAGCGAAGCGGAAATTTACTCCGTTCAAGAAGTGTTTTATTTGTGTAAAATAGCTGGTTCGAATTCGTTGGAGGAGGATATGACTGGTGTTCCTGAGATTGTCTTGCGGAGCGGCGAAATGACTTGCTGTTACGGAGGCAGCCTCAATTGATGTATTATTCGTTTTCGTTCTGCTTCTTTGAATGTTACTGAACAGTTTTCCTCTTCACGCTCTGCTACATCATGATTCATTACCTGTACGCGCCACGTCTGGCGCCTTGTTTCTACGCTAACACTTAGCACCTTGTCAACACGCGCTCTTTTTATCTACATGTACATGTATGTGCTAAGTGTTGGTGTAGAGGCAAGGTGTTAGATGTGGCCGCCGCTCTTGCTGATTGGAAGCTGCGTTGCTTTGCTGCTATGTATAATTATTATTATAGTTCATTGGAGCGAAGGCGTAGTTGTGTTTTTCCAGAGTTCTGCTTGTGATGGTATTCTTCTGAATGGTCATCAAAGTAAATCTGAGTATGGTTCAAGACAGTTTAAGTTGCCTTCCGAGAGTATCTCTGGGTTTATGAGCCAAACTTGCCATTTGACCCTGATGGCGACAGGCAGGTCCCGTAGAAACCGCCGGTCTCCATCGTGGTGACTCTGGATTGGTTTCACCAATAGTGTTTTGTAGCAAAATTTTGAAGGACGCTTCACGCAGCTTCATTTAGCACTGGAATAGTTTGCAGGCAACCTACCTACACTCAAGAGAGCACTGTATTTCACACAAATCCATGTGAGGTATCGTTTCAACGTTTCGGCCTTCATGACCATCATCAGGAATGAAGTGGACATGGAAAAAACAGCAGTATAAAAGAAGGAAGCAAAGCGCGGAAACTAGTGACAGCGCGTAGAGAAGTGCAAAGCACGTCGTGGCGGGTGCATTGCTACATGTACATGACAACACAAGCACAAACGGCGAGGAAAGTAGATACATGTATTGCGCTACAGCTAGCAGTGATACAAGCAGAGTTCCAGTCTCACACCTCCAGTGAGGTGTGTAGAACCCCGCGCCACAGCCACTCGCAGTAAAATAACAGTATAGTATGTTGTATTCAATGCCGACAGAACGCACAGGTCAGTACCACAACATCCCATGCATGATGCTGTAGGTAACTGAGTAGAAAGATGATTGTAGACCATGGTAGAATGTGGAAGAGTATACTCCATAAAAAGTGGTAGCCAAGGTACGTGAAGGCATGCATTGCCCACACACATGTGCCGAGTGTATCCCCCAGAACGCATGCTAGAAGCGAATATGGCCGCACAGGTGGTGGTATAGCAGGTCCCAGCCACGGTTGTTGTTGATTTCTGGGGATCGCTCCCTGATGTTGATGGCCTCTCGGATCCTCCTCCTGGGGTGGTCACGCTCAGAACCAAGAACCCGGATACCCGAGAAGGCCGTTGCTCCCAATTTAGTAATGGTTCAGATACATACTTGGCTGCAAAATGCTCACCCGGAGCGGTGCCGCTCACTGTGTTTGCGTGCGTCGTCGTTGTGCTCTTTTGTCCTGGTGGCGAGGCTGCGGTAAGTCTCTCCGACATATCTACATGTATCACCACAGTTGCACTCGAGATGTTATACGACATTCACTCTGTGCATGCTTCTGAACCGGACATGCAGGCGACACAAGCAGCTTTGGGCCGCCCCCGTTTACGGGGCTTGGACTAGGGTCCAGCGGATTCTGCCGGCAGAAAATTGGCAGAATTCGGTACTTTTCTGGTAAGTTTCATGCATGTTTGGTATGTGGATAAAGAAATGGTGCAGAATTCGAGGAATAGCCCGCCATAAGGTTTGTACGGTTCTGCCAATTTCACTGCTTTTCGAGCAGAATCTGCCAGCTTTTCGAGCAGAATCCGCCGGTCCCTAGCTTGGACGGGTCTACATACCTGCGGCATGGTGGTTTGCTGAGGGCAGACGTGCAAATCATCGAGCTTAGACGGCGGTTCCTGTAGATCAGCTGGGAATTTATCTTGTACTTCCGGAGTAATTTATGAATTTTGTTGTGGATATATTCGGTGTGAAACGGTAGGTTGAGGGTGACACGGTATTCATTCTGCACTCTGCCACGTCGGGGGCGCATCGCTCGTTCACGTGCCGAAACTATAACTGACTCTAGGAAGTTGTTGAATTGTAGGATGTTGGTTACTTTTTTCACTTTTTTTAGGGTATCAGC